CTATTTTTTTATTATCTCTTTATAAGTGATGGAACTGAGGCAAAGGGATGTAAAGAAACTTGTCTGCAACTAGTGGACATCAGAATCTAGTGATATATTGGATGTAGGGAATGTGACAGAGAGCAAAAAAGGAATAAAAAGAGCCTTCTTGGTTTTGGCCTGAGCAACTGGATGAATTAAATAATGCGATTAAATGAAATTCTGGTGTGATTAAATAAAATGGAGAAGACCAGGTTTAGGGACAGATAGAGGTGAAGGGAAATTAAAAATTCAGTTTTGGCCACGTTAATGTTGAGATACCTATGAGATATTTAGATGGAATTGTCAAGACTAGACTCAGAGATGTTTTAAGTGGAAATAGAAATTTGGATTTTATCTGCATGTAGATGGCATATGAAGCCACGAGACTGGATGGAATCACATAGCACAAAGAGAGCCTAGAAATTGAACTTGTAGAATTCAAATGTAAATATATATATATATATATATATATATATATATATATATATATATATTGTAAGGGAAAGAATATGGATTTTGGCATTATAAATATTGGAAGAGTTTCTTTAGATTTACTAATTATTTCTTTTTGTTGTATCCTGTCTACTGAGAAGGCCATTAAAGGACATCTTTATGATATCATGTTTTTCATTTCTAATTTCCCCATTTGCCATATTTTTTTGTAGTTTCATCTCTCTATTCAAATTCTTCATCTGCACATGTATGTTTTCGACCTTTTCTACTAGGTTCTTTAAAATCTTAATCATAGCTATTTTTACATCCCCAATTCATAATTTTAAAATCTGAACATTACTGGGGCAAGCTCTGTTGACTCTTTTATCCCTTCATGATAGGTTATTTTTGTCTTGTATTTTGTGTCTCATTTTTTTAAAATTGAATTTTGGACATTGTATATAAAAAATGCTTAAGTCCTAAGTAGACATTATTTATGTTTTGAACAGAGCAGGCCTCTTCTGTCAGCCCATTAGTGTTGGGAGTTGCATCAATCTAGTCAGGAGTTGGGCTGGCTTTGGTTTTTGTTTGTAGCCATTGATATTTCAGTACACCATTGGACTTCCAATTCCTGGAGTTCTGGATTGCCATTGCCTCATGCTTTGTGGGTGGCCTGGGGCTCCAAAGTGTTTTTCTCACTGCTCCTTTTCCACCCTCTGCAGGTGCTACATCCCTCAGATACAGTGGAAGCTTCTCTCTCTCTGTCCTTTCTCCTCCCCCAGTGATAGATTGCTATTACTTCTTATTTATTGCAAGGTTTCTGTTTGGAACAGAGTGATTTCTTAGAACTCATGTTCTACTCTCATTGATAGGCAGGCATTATGTACCTTTATCTCAGGGTGGAACTTTCTCAATACTCCCACCCCACCTCCCATGGCAGCTGAAACTTAGCCTTTTATCAATGCTAAGTCCTCAGTATAGTGAGTTTTCTGTCCCATCCCCCACAGCAGATGGCTTTTGCTTCTACATCCTCTAGCAGAGGTGACATTTTTCTGATATATGCCACGGACGGTTTCTTTCCTTTCTCCTAGACACAGATGGCTTTTGCCTCAGATGAGAAAAGGGTCCATGGTTCTGACATACACTTAATCACAGCCTGTATGTCTGTACCAGTAAGAAAGCTCTTTAGGTCTCCTACCCTCTTACTTTCTCATGAGTACCCAACAGATGCCTGTAGATCTCTTCTTTTCTATCAGGCTTGCAGATTCTAATGTTATATTAGCTCCTACCAAGCTCTTTAGAATTGGTTTAAAATCTAGGTTGTTTTTTTTTCTTATGCAGGTTTTGTTGGTGATTTCTTCATCCTGTGCTTTGACAAATGTGAAGCAGTTATCTATCCTCAGAAGGACTTTTCATACTTTGAAATTCAGATCATTTGGTTGCTTTGCAACCTCAGCTCTCTGATGAATTTTAAAAATTATATTTTGTAGGTTTTCTAATATTTATGGTTCAGGGATAGTGCTGCTCTCTTCTGGCTTTGAACTTGCTAAATGTTACTAGAACTCGAGTTGATTGTCTAACTGGACCATGTTGTTCTCTTTCTTTAAATGTCTTTTCCCAGTTCCCCTTTGCCTTAAGGGTGAGGCCTAACCCACTAACCTGGCCTGCCAGGACCTTTGAGATCTGGCCCATATCCATATCTCCAAGCCTCAACTTGCACTCCAAATACAAGGACCTTGATAGTTAATATCTAAGCAAATCCTAAATGTTGTAGAAGAAATTCTCTATTTGTGGTTTTTATTTTTCAGTCACTGAGAATCACCTTCAACCCTTTCAATGTTTCCTCCTTCTAAAATGCTTTAGGGTTTCATTAATTTTTCTTTTGTTTATTTAAGCATCAACTGTGGTTTTATGTAGGCTACATAAGTTTATGTAATTGGAGAAGAATAGATCTAACAAAATAAAATGCTATTTACAAATTATTAGGTCTAGTAATAATTAATGCCGTTTTCTAATACTTTTTTAAATCGAATTTATTTAAACAATACAACAAAATTTAATCAACAATATAGTTGCCGTTGTTTTCTACTACTTGTGCCCAATGCTCAGGAAGCATTTTAATCCCTCTGTTGTAAAATTCTTGTGATTTTGATGCAAAAAATTCGGTCAATGCATTTTTGAGGCATTCTTCATTATTAAATTTTTTTCCAAGGAGAAAGTTTTGCAAAGAACAAAACAAATGGTAATCGGAAGGGGCAATATCAGGAGAATATGCAGGTTGAGGGAGAACTTCCCATTCCAACTGGCACAGTTTTTCAGCAGTGATTCTTGCAGTATGCGGTCGTGCGTTATCGTGGTGAAGAATTACGCCCTTCCGATTAATCAGCGCGGGTTCTTTTTCTCTTAAAGCTTGGGCTAACCTTTCCAATTGGGCACTATACACTGCACTTGTAATGGTTTGGTTAGATGGTAAAAGTTCATAATGAAGAATTCCTTTAAAATTCCACCAAACACACATCATCACTTTTTTCGCATGCAAGTCAGGTTTTGGCGTGGGCTGCGGAGCCTCATTTTTGTCCAACCATTGAGGCCGCCTTTTGAAATTAACATACAGCACCCATTTTTCATCTCCGGTAACAATTTGCTCTAAAAACGGCAAACGGTTTTGAGAAGAGAGGAGCGAACTGCAAATTGTGACTTTGATTACGGTTGTTGTCGGTCAACTCATGAGGAACCCATTTTCCAAACTTTTGGACTTTGCCAAGTGCACGCAATTGATTGGAAATTGTTTTTTGTGAACAATTTAAAGTTGTCGCAAGCTCTTGTTGGGTAATTTGAGGATTTTGCACCAAAAGAGCTTGAAGAGCTTCTTGATCAAAATTGGACACACAAGAGTGGCCTCGACCACTCTTGTCATCTAACGAAAAATTTCCCTCGCGAAATTTCTCAAACCAACGCTGGCATTTTCTGGTGCTAACTGCATCTTGACCAAGAGCACTACAGATGTTTTTTTGCAGCCTCACTTGCTTTTCTTCCTAATTGGAACTCGTAAAGCATGCAGTGCCGAATATGCTCTTCATCCGCCATCTTCTTAGCCCTAGTTTTGCAACAAAAACCAAACCAAACACAAACTTTTTCAAGCAAAACTTGTTAATTGCACTTCACACGTTCTGTAGATACCACGTGTTTGAAGGTTATGTCAATACAAGTCAACGCCAAGCAAGATTTTAAACGAATATTTAAAAACGACAATAATTATTACTAGACCCGATAGTTCAATTATTGATGCTGTTGCTCTTGGCAACTGATGAAGATTGGCAAAGAAACTAAAATTGTTCCCAAGTAGATTTTAACATCCTCATCTTTATCTGCCAAATTGTGTAGGAAATAGAAGGCAGGTGTGCTATTTATTAGTTCATTGTTTCACAACCACTGTGTCTTGGTTGGTGTGCTAGATAATGACTACCTCATAAGTGGGTCATCTTCTGCCATTAGGGTGCTTTATAAAAATGTTTTCTATATGGGCCACAGTATGAAAAACGTTGGGAAGTGCTGGACTGGTGATTTCCCACATCTTTCCAAAAAATGTTGGGAAGAAAGTAGTTTCAGAGTATTAGTAATAATTATAATTAATACCTATCAGATGGTGACTATATGATGGGAGTTAGCAAAACTCTACCTTTGCCCTCATTTCATGCTCAGACCAGTCCTACAAGGTAGTTGCAATCATCTAGGGCACTTACCCAAGGTCATATAGATAGTTATAAAGTGGCAAAGCTGGGGCATAAAGTCAGGTTAGAAAGTCCTACCTATTTAACCATTATGACTTGTTCCCTACATTATTAAATTATCTGCAGTAGAAATGGTTCATTATTTCTTCTCTCATCTTTTTTCTCTATTTAAGCTTGGGTACTTGAACATAGAAAAATGTTTTTCATTTCCATATTAATTGATTCTTCTAATAGCATATGAATTGTTTGAAAATTACCTATTTGAATTTTTTTTCAAATGTTAATGGGAAAAAAATAGATGCCTATAATTAACTGAGGTTTTCTGAGCACTGAAGAAGGAATTAACACCCAACAATAATAGCTGTTATCACACTAAAGGCAAAACATATTAAAATATGGATGATGCATAGTGGAAGTGTGGTTACCCAGGTTTCACGAAGTTCTCAAGTTGAGACGTGTAGATTTTCTTGATTCATCCATGAAGTGATAATGTTCATTGTCTTATCAAACATCAATGCCAGAAACATCAGAGAGCAAACAGGTCCCTGGATGTTGAAGTCATTCATTAGAGATTAAATTTCACTACTAGGGTAATCTGAAAGCATCACAAGTCCTCATGACCTTAAGGAGAATTCTGAATGTTCAGTAATATTCTTTTATCACCTTTCACATGGTATAGGATGCTGAGATACTCTCTAAGCCCCAGCACAGGAGAGGTCTCTTGCTACTGTTTTGACTTTAGTTTGTAATATAATGAATGCTTTGTTTTGAATTAAGAATATTTATATTTGTTGTTGTTATTTTTTTCCATTCTAGGTTGGTGATGTAGTAGAAGTACAAGCAGATGAAACTTTTCCCTGTGATCTAATCCTTCTATCATCCTGCACTAGTGATGGAACCTGTTATGTTACTACAGCCAGTCTTGATGGGGAATCCAATTGCAAGGTAATGAAGGGTAAACCTCGCTTACACATTTTAAGCTCAGAATAGTTCATCAGTAAATACTCCTTCCCACTGTCTCCTAATCTTTTTATCTTATTTGTGTACATTTCGTATTTGAAGACAGCTTTTATATAGTTATCCTTGAACTTCTAAGCAAATTCTCAACTTTGGGGATGGGGATGGTATTCGGTGAAGCAAATCCATGTCCCAAGTAAAAACCACTACATTAAAAAAATTATATGCGCGCACACACATACACACACACACACACACACACACACACTGAGTGGCCAGATTATTTTGATATCTGGTCACTCAGTGTGTGTGTGTGTGTGTGTGTGTGTGTGTGTGTGTGTGTGTGTGTATTAGAGGCCTGGTGCATGAATTCGTGCATGGGTGAGGTCTGGCCAGCCTGGTCAGGGAGAGGGGACATGGATGGTTGGCTGGCCTGCTGGTCAAACTCATGGTCGAGGGGATAATTTGCATATTAGCCTTTTATTATATAGGATATACACTGAGTGGCCAGATTATTATACATTCAGAGATCATAATAATCTGGCCACTCAGTGTGTGTATGTGTGTGTGTATTATTGATTTCAGAGACAGATAGGAAGGGAGAGACAGGTAGAAACATTAATGATGCTCTCTCATTAATGATGAGAGAGAATCATTGATGGCCTGCCTTCTACACACCCTGCCCCCTCACACGGGGGATCAAGCCCACAACCCAGGCATGTGCCCTGACTGGAAATTGAATCATGACCTCCTGATTCATGGGTTGATGCTCAACCACTAGGACACTCTAGCTGGGCACCACCACATTTTTTATATAACTGTTTGCATTTCTTATTGACATAACCCACTTAATATTTTTTAAATAAATCTTTATTATTCAGATTATTACAAATGTTCCTCTTCCCCCCACCAGTTGCTCCCCTCCACCAGGTTCCCACCCCACCCTCTGCCCTTTCCCCACCCCCCATTGCCCTCATCCATAGGTGCACAGTTTTTGTTCAGTCTCTTCCCGCACCCCCCACTCCCCTTTTCCCTGAGAATCGTCAGTCCACTCCCCTTCCATACCTCTGATTCTGTTATATTCACAGTTAATATTGTTCATCAGATTTTTTAATTCCCTTGTTTTTTAGATTCACTTGTTGATAGTTACGTATTTGTTGATCATAATTTTTATCTTTATCTTCTTCCTCTTCCTAAAGAATCCCCTTCAGCAATTCATATAATTCTGGTTTGGTGTTGACCTTTAGCTTTTTTTATTTTTATTATTAGTGAAGCTCTTTATCTGGCCTTTGATTCTGAGTGATAGCTTTGCTGGGTAGAGTATTTTTGGCTGTAGGTTCTTGCTATTCATCACCTTGAATATTTCTTGCCATTCCAGTCTGGCCTGCATGGTTTCTGTTGAGAAATCAGCTGACAGTCGTATGGGTGCTCCTTTATAGGTAACTACCTTCTTTTCTCTTGCTGCTTTTAATATTCTCTCTTTGTCTATTGCTCTTGGAATTTTACTTATGATGTGTCTTGGTGTGGTCCTCTTTGGATTCCTTTGTTTGTGGTTCTGTGCGCTTTCTGGACTTGTAAGTCTATTTCTTTCCCCAGGTGGGGGAAATTTTCTGTCACTATTTCTTTCAGTATGTTCTCGGTATTTTGCTCTCTCTCTTCTTCTGGGAGTCCCATAATTCTGATGTTGGTTCGTTTGAAATTGTCCCAGAGGTTTCTTACACTATCAATATCTTCAACTTTCTGGATTCTCTTATCGTCTTGCTTCTGTGGAGGAGTGTCCTCTGGCTTTTTGTGTTCCAAATCTTTGATTTGATTCTTAAGATCTTCCATTCTGTTTTTAGGACTCTGTATAATATTTTTTATTTCAGACAATGTATTCTTTATTTCTAGTTGATCCCTTTTCATATCCTCACATGTCTCATTTATTTTATCGGCCTTTTCTAGGAAATTCTTGAAAAACCTTATAACCGTGTTTTTGAACTCTATATCCAGTCGCTTCTTGTCCTCCATTTCTTTTGTTTGTGATCTGTTTCCTTGTCTCGGCATTTTCCCAGCTTCCCTGAGTTGGTAGGGTGGCTTTGTGTGCTAAGATCTCTTATATGGTTCAGTTGGTCAGCCTCCCAGTTACCTGAGGTGGACAATCTTGGTGTAGCCCTTTGTGGGCTGTATGTGCAGTCTTGTTGTTAAGCCTTGCTTGTTGTTGGTTTCACTGGGAAGTGCTGATCTCCAAGCCAATTGGCTATGAGGATCAGAAGTGTCTCAGCTAGGAGGATTTCTGTATTCTGCTTGGATGGGGCAGAGTCTCGGGGTGGCACAGACAAGCTTTGTTGAATCCCACAAGATTGGTTGCAGGCGCACGCACCTCTTTGGTATAGGGCAGACAAGTTTTGGATTCCTGTCTGTTCCTCCCTAGGAGAGTCCTATTTGCAGCAAATGAGAAAGCTAGCCACTGGAAGGGGTTCTGTGCTCAGCTTGGATGGGGCGGAGTCTCGGGGTGGTGCAGACAAACTTTGGTCAGCCCCTCCCTACGAGGGTCTTGTTTCTGAGTCCCGTAGTAATGGCCACTGGCTTCACACACCTTCAGAGATCTCTGCCCACTGCCTGAGAGTCTGGCCTCTCCCTGCCTGGGGCCGTCTATTAGAGCAATAAGGTGCTTCTGTTTTCCTCCCAAACCAGAAAGCCAGCTGCGCATTAGCTGTCCGCCCTCTCCGCACTCCACAAGCAAGCCAGCAGCGAAGTCTGGCCTTTTCGCGCGTGCAGTTCACCGCACCTTCACAGTTCCTGAAGCTCAGCGTGCCTTCTCTCTCCTTCCCAGATGGCAGAGCCTCCTCTCAGCCAGGCGTCCAGTGCTTCAGGGAGATGTTTTCCCTGTTTTCCAGTTCTAAATTCAAATTTGTTGTGGTAGGCTGCATTCAGGTGTCTACCCTATGCCGCCATCTTGGTTTCTCCCCACTTAATATTTTATTGAGTCTTTTTTAAATGAGACTAATCATAGGCTGAAAGTATATAACTATAAAAATAATATCAAGTATCTCACTTTACAGTTAGATCTCTTTACTTAAAAAGTGATGATTATTTTCTTTAAAAATGTTTATTCCTGGCATATAAGAAATGTAATCTGGAATAATTTGATTGTTTTTAAAACAATGCCTCAGGGTGTAGTTTGGCAAATAATGTTTGCTCTATTGCAACTAGGAAGAATTATAAATCTGTTAAAGTAAATTTGCTCAAACGGGAGATAAATTCCTTCCCTGGTACTCTCTGACACAGTCATTTCTTGGCGATTGTCCAGAATTCTATAATGCATGAAGATGTGTCTTTTATATGTTGCCTTTAAGGAAGGATATTAAATAAAAGTACATAGTTTTTTCAAAGCCAAGAGATAGTTTTAAATCTAGCTCAGATACTTCCATATTATTTCCCAAAGACCATGCAACAGCTTTCCTTCTGGGTAAGTAGTACAGTTTTTGTGTCTGTTTTAGCCTTTCTTTGATGATTTATAAATGGATCCTAGCTGGTTTGGCTCAGTGGATAGAGCTTGGCTTGCTGACTGAAGGGTCCAGGGTTCAATTCTGATCAAAGGCATGTGCTGTGGTTGGAAGCTTGATTCCCAGTAGAGGGCATGCAGGAGGCAGCTAATCAATGGTTCTCTCATCATCGATCTCTCTCTCTCTCTCTCTCTCTCTCTCTCTCTCTCTCTCTCTCTCTCTCTCTCCCTTCCTCTCTGAAATCAATACAAATGTATTTTTTTTAAATAAATTGGTTTACTGGAGTCTGCCTTGAGTTCTGGGTAAATCAAGTACATAATATACACTAGTAGAATATTCTAAAGACACATCATCTCCCTGCTATTCATATGAAATGTAGCCACTTTGAGCATTTTCAAGGTCATTAATTATACTATTTGTGTAATGGAACTATTAATGATTTTTTCTTTCTTTTGTCAAGATGTTAGCAATCTTATGACCAAAAGGGCTAAGTTCAATTTATATGTGTATATTTGCATCACTATACACTTTGGTGAGCAAAAGAATAGGTCTCAGTAAAAGTAAATGCATTATATTTTTATGGAGTTTTCAATTAACTATATGCATGCTGCAAATGAAATTCGCTGTGCTGTCAATATCAAGAAAAGATTTTTTTTCCATTAACTTTGGAATCCCCTTGCACTAGGGATAGCTTAGTAATTATTTGTAATATACTTGAAGAATTTTATTTAGTTGTAAATGTGCATCAATATTTGTATTATTCTGCCAAAGCCTCTTGCTAAAACATATTCCTTTTCTGGAATCAGGTGGGTGTATGATTACAGAAAAAAACACTTTTGTTTTTGCCTTTTCTTCTGCTTTCATCTAGACACATTATGCAGTACGTGATACCATTGCACTATGTACAGCTGAATCCATTGATAACCTCCGAGCAGCGATTGAATGTGAACAGCCTCAACCTGACCTCTACAAGTAAATATCACCTGTTTTCATTGTACTGCTCTGTTAGCTCTGCCTTTCTTTACCCACCAGTATTGCAAAGAAACACCCACCACTTACCAGCTTCTTTCATTTGTGTTTTTATGAGCTGTTCCTTCTGACATGGAAATGAATCATTTCAGCCTTGTTCACTACCAGCCCAAGATAAAATGTATGGGCCCAGGCATCTTACTTGTGGTTTTTCTTTTCTTTTTGTTATTTGTAAACATGATCGTCCATGAAATTTTAAGATGATTTTATCCTGTAAAGCCGGTCTGCCAAACTTACTCATGTACCAGAGTTAACTAAAACAAAAATAATCCACTTCATTTGTTTTCCAATATCAAAGAGAGGAGAGGTATGGAGTCATGCATTCTATCATTAGAACTGCATATTGTGAATAGGCTGTTTTTTTGTCCACAGTAAACAGATAAATGGAAGAAGTAGTAAAATGGTGTAATGTCCTATATTTTATTATACTTAGGCTTTCTGGAGTGCTTTTGCTTATTAACAGTAGAATGTCAGAAATTTGGAATTTGATTTTTAAGATTGGTCAGTTTGGCCCTGGCTGGTTTGGCTCAGTGGATGGAACCAAGTTTATGTCCCAGGTTCAATCCTGGTCTAGGGCATGTCCTAGTTAGTACCTTGGTTATAGGCACATCCTCAGTGAGGGGTGTTCAGGAGACAACTGATTGATGTTTCTCTTTCATCGATATTTCTAACCCCCTATCCCTCTCCCTTCCTCTCTGTAAAAAAAATCAATAATATATATATATATATATATATATATATATATATATATATATATTTTTTTTTTTTTTTTTTTAATTGGTCAGTTTGGCTTATTAGAGCATGGTGACAATGAAGGAAGAGTAACAGGTTTTATTTCCAAGTTGGCCAATTAATTTCATTCTATTATAGATGGCATCCATTACCTATTCCAGCCATCTTATTAATGAGTTCTATTGGTCATAATGGGTCAGATGATTGGTGGCGGGAAAACAAAGTAGTCATCCTACTACAACAACAATGCCTCTCCCTCCTTCCCGCCAGTCCTTCTTTCCTCTTTCCCTTCTGTATCCATGCTGATATTAAGAACAAGGACCACAAATCAAAATAGCTGTTCCCTGTCTTAGCTCACAGTTTGCAGAAGAGATAAAACAGTAATTCTAGGCTTATAGTACAGTGAAATAATAGAGATGAATAAAAGGCCCATGGAATCAGAGAAAAGGGGGTGAGTGATTCTGCTTGAGTTAGAGAATAATATACATCATTGCATATTTATAGGGCAACTCTTATAATTTTCAGTTACCTTAAATCTGAAGGAAAATTTTAGATCAGGGAAGTTTATTGCTAATTCTCTAGACTAGATTGAGTGCCCTTGATATGTGACTCCAGAATACCTTGTACTTTCATCCCCCTAGTGGTAATTACTTATAATTGCCTGTTTATTTGTCTTAAGGTAAGTAATGTCTTTCTTACTTATTAGTGTATATCCAGCACCTTGCATAGTACTTGCACAATTAATATATGATGAATGAATTACCAGAGATTCATATTTTGGAACACAGTAATAATACATTCCATTTTTCTGAAAAAATATGCAAATTATAAAACATTCACACTTGTTAAGAAGATTACCATGTACCTAGCCATATTAAGTGATTGGATCAAGCTCAGTAATGAAATCAGCTTCAAGACCAGTTTGGAAATGTCTAAGATGGTAATGAAGTGTTTACTGTCTAAAACTAATGCCATGGGTCGAAACCAGTTTGGCTCAGTGGTAGAGCGTCGGCCTGCGGACTGAAAGGTCCCAGGTTCGATTCCGGTCAAGGGCATGTACCTTGGTTGTGGGCACATCTCCGGTAGGAGGTGTGCAAGAAGCAGCTGGCCGATGTTTCTCTCATCAACGTTTCTAACTCTCTATCCCTCTCAATTCCTCTCTGTGTAAAATCAATAAATATATATATATATTTTAAAAATAAATAAATAAAATAAAACTAATGCCATGGTTCTCAAAGGGTTACCTGGCCAGCAGTATCAGCATCACCTGAGAACTAGTTGAAAATGCAAATTATCACCTGAATCATAAACTTGGGGATGAGACCTAGAAATTTGTAATTTAATAAGCCGTCCAATGATTCTAATGCATGCTAAAGTGAAGGAACTACTGAAATAAATAATGGTTTTAAAAGTTGTATTAACACCAGAAATCTTTCTTCACATGAATCTATAATAGAAGCCAATTATTTTTATAATGTATAAATAAGACTGGTGTTATGTGCATGTATAATGCTAAGAAGATCTTGAAAACCAATTTAGTATATTTGTTTACATTCTTATAATAATATTATTTTAAGAATTAGATTAAAATGTTACCTTTATTGTTAATTTCATAATTTTTTTCAGAAATATAGTAGACATTCATAGTTCAAAGTCTCTTCTCTTTTGCATTATTTGTATTTTGATCTATTTCTAATTTTTGTGGTATATAGATTTTGCCTATATGTCAAAAACTCATTTGCTATTCTTTTGCAGGTTTGTTGGGCGAATCAGTATCTATAGTAATACTCTTGAGGCTGTTGCGAGGTTAGTTTGCTATTCCTTTAAACTGTCCTTTGAGGGGGGTTTTAAAATGCCAAATATTTTTTTATAAAGAGAGGTTGAAGTGAATAAATCTGGAGTAACTAGCCAGTATCCCACTAATGGGTCTTAAGTAACCAACCTTGTAATTGGTAGTAGCTCTTGTGTTGTAGGGTCTTTGAGTTGTGTGTGTCCCGGGCAGAGGGATAGTATTGGAAATGATGCTGAAGGTTTCCAGAATTGAAGAGCTCCAGACACTTTGATATTCTGAAATCTCTCCTAGACACTATATTTATGGTAATAGGTTGTTCAGTGGCAGAGAGTATTGGAAATATACCTGGAGAACAATGAGTGATTTAAAGGAATGTCATTGAATATATAGACAGTGTATAAAATCCTGGGAAAATTACCTGGAATGCTAATTATTTTTAATGCAGTAATTTATATAAAAGAGGGTTTTTTTCTCTTCTTTCATTTAGTACCTCATCTTTTCTAGTTGGCCTTTTTACCATACTCAAAAGGAAGTAAAAGAAACGCCCAGTGCCCAAAGATCCCCCCCAAAGGCGGGTTTACTCTCCTCTCTATAAATGTCAGTGTGTCTTTCCCACGTTGGTGTTTTATCTGTTACCTTCTCTTTCTGTCTGCTGCTTTGTCCTGTTCTTGTCTTGCTGTCAATGACTCATAATCCTTTTATTTCTCTATGCATCCCTTTATCTCTCTGTGTTGCTGGCTACTCCTGTCCTGTGCTGTTAACTGTGTTGTGCCCTGCAGTAACTTTTAGAGGAAGGGTCTTTCAGCTTGTCCTGAGGAGTAAACATGTGATATAATTAGACAGGTATATTCTGAACCCAAGACATAGACGTATGGACAAAATATGTCCCCACAGTTGATGATGCTATTTATTGGACTGTTTAGATAAGCGGTGTTCATCTTTTATTTAGGTCTTTGGGACCTGAAAATCTCTTGTTGAAAGGAGCTACACTGAAAAATACCAAGAAGATATATGGTGAGCAATTTTTAAGACATACCTACTAGAAATATGCTTTAGAAGCCTGTCCATAAATAGTGCTTGTTAAATTTTAACATCAGATAACTGTCATTTAATCTAAGCCTGTTTTTAAGTGTTAGGAATTTGTGAGATGGTAAACTAACGTGAAAAATGATAAATAAATTATATAGAATTAAAATTACGCTATCAAAGATATATCAACTGGTGAATAGAAGAGAGTTTAAAATTTCTGTTTTTATAGGATGAAAAAAAAATCAATAGATCCAGTTGGGTAAAGAGTTAGTTGTAATTTAGTCTTCATTTTATCCTTTTATTCCTTAGGAGTTGCTGTTTACACTGGGATGGAAACCAAAATGGCTTTGAACTACCAAGGGAAATCTCAGAAACGTTCTGCTGTTGAAAAGTTAGTATGCACTGCTGTTTCTTTAGTTGTTATAGAACTGAAATAGTTACTTCTCAGTAATTCCAATAAGAACCTAATGAAAAACAACATTGCAGCTACCATTTTGAGTATTTTTTATGTCCCAGAAACTGCTTAATGATTTGTATTTCTGACTAGAGGCCCAATGCACGAAAATGCGTGCAAGAATGGGTTTGCCTTCCCCTGGCAGCCTACAATATCTTCACTCTGGCTGGAGCTGCCTTTCTGCCTTCCCATGCTGCCCAGAGGCCCAGAGCAGCTGGGGTGATGCGGGACGCAAGCATCCCACCCCTGGCTACTCAGTGCCTGCATATGCAAATTAACCATCATTTTTGTTTAGTTAATTTGTATACTCACTCCTAATTGCCTGGTGGATGTTGTGAAGGTACAGTCAATTAGCATGTTACTCTTTTATTTATTTATTTTTAAAGAAAAATATTTTTCATTTTTTTTTAGAAAGTAAATTAATTGTTTAGTACATATATCTCCCTTTTCCCCCCCATTGACCTTCCCCTGGCCTACCCTACCCCCTGTCACATGCCCTCATTCCACCCCCCGCAGTGTCATGTGTTCATTGGTTAGGATTAGGGTGTAGATTTGATGTAATCCTCTAAGCAGCAGTATGGAGTAATTCCTGTTAGCCTGTTCATTTTACAGTTGAAGAAATAATCTCAGAGATAAGTGACTTACCTAAGCTCACATAGCTATTCAAGGCAGATTTTGGTTGAAATATAAATTTCCTTTGCTTCTAGATAATGGTTTGGGGTCCTATAGTTGCTATATGTAAGAAAATTCTACAACATAGATTTTAGTCTCCAGGCAAATGTTGAAGTGGTACCGAGTAGACCTTTAAGCCATTTGCCACTGACATGGACCTAGCTATTGTTGGCATGGATATCCAGTACATCAGTGACACCCTCTTCATAGCTCTACTTTCAGAATAAAAGAGTGCATTAAGCTTGAGGATTTTACATTAGCTTTCCCACACTCTGCTCCAAATCTTTAGGATTAAGGGAAATAGAGACAATCTAATCCTTCTATAAGGTAATGTGTTTGCACCATTACCAATGAATAGGTAATATTGTGTTTATGTTTGTGTGTCCTGTCACTTACTTTATAGATCCTTATTAAAGGTGTGTTAAGCTCCATTGCACTTTGGGGAGCATTGGTGACAAGTCAGGACTGGCTTTTCAATTTTACCACTTGAGAGTAACACTTTAGCAGTGATAATCAAGGTTCATTAATACATACAGGCCTGTGCTGTAGTAACACATCATATGCAAGAGAAGCTTTAGAAGACTGGATAATTTAAGTTATACCTGGTTGATTTCTTAAGTAATTAGATGGTTTTTCAATCCATGTCTTATTTTTCAGGTCCATTAATCTCTTCTTGATTGTATATTTATCTATCTTACTGACCAAAGCTGCAACATGCACTATTCTAAAGTATGTTTGGCAAAATATTCCATATAATGATGAACCTTGGTATAACCAAAAAACCCAGAAGGAGCGGGATACTTTGAAGGTAATTTGTTTTATGCTAAATTTTTTAACTAGCACCTTGTTATCACACCACCCTTGATTCAAATGCTGCTCAAATTAATGATGCCTTTTGTTGGTTTCTGGGTTCCCTCTTGGTTGTATGGTAACCCTAAGCCATTACATGGTTTAAAAGTTTTAGAGTTTTGTTTTATTTTAATTTGGGCTTCTATGCTTGTTTTTAGATCTTAAGAGTTTTAAACGATTGGGTAAGAAGCTGGCATATAAATATAGTATGAGCTTATGATATATCATGCAAGGAGCATAATAAATGCCTACATAGAAACTTTGATTTTATATTCCTAGCTTTGGGTAAGAGGAGCACACAACATAAGGAAGTGAAGAAGTATGGAGTCAAAAGATACATTCACTGAAGAATAATGATACAATTGAGGGTGTTTTTACATACTGTGATAATAAGTTTGACCAATGATGTAGTGTCTTTGGGAAGTTTTTTTTAAATATATTTTATTGATTTTTCATAGAGGGGAAGGGAGAGAGATAGAGAGCTAGAAACATCGATGAGAGAGAATCATCACCCAGCCGCCTCCTGCACATCCCCCACCGGGGATGTGCCCGCAGCCAACATACATGCCCTTGACCAGAATCGAACCTGGGACCTTTCAGTCCGCAGACCGACGCTCTACCACTGAGCCAAACTGGCTTCGGCTGGGAAGTTTTTTCAGTGTAGCCAGACAGTGCTTTCAGCATCAAAATAAAAAGAAACTTAACTAGTTCTTTATATTACAGTTGGTTAATGGGAGTACATTTAATTAGCATGAACTTTTTTGTTGTTGTTTCAGGTTTTGAAAATGTTCACCGATTTCCTATCATTTATGGTTCTGTTCAACTTTATCATTCCTGTCTCCATGTATGTCACAGTAGAAATGCAGAAATTCTTGGGCTCCTTCTTTATTTCATGGGATAAGGACTTTTATGATGAAGAAATTAATGAAGGAGCCCTGGTTAACACATCAGACCTTAATGAAGAACTTGGTCAGGTTAGAACTTATTTTTACTTAAAATATGGTTTCTTGTAGTCTGGATTACCAATGTATATGACCATGTCATGTTTGGGAATATGAATCAAGACAAAAAATGTACACAGATATACCTTGAAGGCAAGCAATGTTTCCATAGTTATTGCATCAGTTATTTTGCTGGCATTTTGGAGAAAGATCCCAATATGTATTGAATTTGAATGTTACAGAAATCTCTTTAAAACTTGTTGTTACATTATGGATTATTGCTTTGGAATAGGAAGCATGTGGTCTTCATCACCAACTATAACTATTTGGGAATATAATATGTGTTAGCAAATAAAAGTATTTTGTAAATGCATTTTGTTCCATAAACTAGATTGACCAGAGTTGTCCTGTTGATATTTTCTTAGAATATTTCTGGTCAGATGGTTATAGACCTAGAAAGCAGTTGTTTATTCCAGTTCAAATTTTTGAATGAAGGGAAAATGTGAAGGCATGCACTCCTCAAAATGTTTTTTGCTCTATATATCAATGTAGCTCAAACTTTGACCTTGTTTCTTACTCAAGTGCATTTGTTTTCCAATACAATGCAATCTAGCTGTAATTCTTCAAGTTATGACTTCCTAGGTGCTGTTCTTTAGTATTAAGAGAGTTTTTCTCTTTGTCTGAATTTACTGTGTGTTGTGTAATTTTCACAAACTGAGGAAATTTTTTTTGCTTCATTTAATTCTTATTTAGAATGTCAGGGATGTGGAAATGTCATTTCTGTGACTGAGAGATGCAAATTCAGTTAATGGAACTGTGTGGGTGAAACAGGTTTTCAGTCTTGTTTTGAATGGTGCTAATTTGCATCTACAACTCTAAACTCTCTTAATGAATTTAGTACTACTCCACCCATCCCCCATCTCTTATTACTATTGTTTACACAACCTTCACCTAAATCAAAGTTCCCTGTTGACATCTACAAACACAAGGTTGAAAGAACTCTCCAGATTTTGTTGAAACCTGACTTTGGGATTCCAGGATCCCAAACCATGGAATCTGCATCCCACAGTGATACTTAGTCACCAAGGATACAACAAGAAGTAAATGAATGAATACTTTTCCCTTAGATATTGCTCCCAAAAAATTCTTTTGTGAGTTCAGCTGGGACAGCTGACGAGGCCTTTTTAAACTAGAATTTTTCATTCAGGTATAGAACTATATGAGTAGAACTACTTTAATCCCTATAAAAGACATAAAGTTGTAGAATTTTTACATGAAAAACAAAAATTAAGTTATAAAAATTAAGCCACCTCTGCTGAATTTTTCCCTGACAGGTAGGTGATTTAGTTGAGTAGTTCCAGTTCGTGGCTGTGTAGATTAACCTACCCAAAGATGAACTTGGCTAGCTAGCCCTAGGCTACTACAAATAAAGCAGTCAACTTTCCACATGTGATACTTAATGCTCACCAGAGACAGGCAAGATATCCAGGCCATGTTCCAATTGATAAGACTCTTATGTCTTTCATATGTGCACCTCAACAGATTCTATGATACCTGTGGGAATGTAATACCTATCATTTAGACTGAATTCACATTGCAGAAAGTAAAGTGGGGGTTTGGGGAATGATCTGGTAAATTTGATAAGTGAAAAGAAACTAGAGTCATCCACATTTCATCCACTACTTTTTTCTCCAACCAAAACCTGCTTTTCTGGGTGTGATTGTCATTTAGTTAATCTAGCCAGTCCATCACCTCAATTTATACAGAGAAAAACCAACTTGCCATCATTGTCAGGTTATATATGTAGAAACTACCCAAATGAAAATGCAAATAAGTCTTGAAATAGCTTCTTAGGTCATTTACCTTTCAATGGAATGGTACACCTAAAATGAAATATAACCAGTTTCCTCTTTGATGAGTCATAATTTAAGATATATAGGGCTTTTATGTTGCTAAAAGCAAAGTCAATTAGTTCTCATCAATGTCATTGCAAACACTTACTTAACAATTCTTTTAAAATGACCTACATGGTATTTTTAAAAATGAGAAGATATGTTTAAGGTAGTGTTTGACTTGAGAAACAAAAATTAGACTGCTCACTCAGTTCAGTTGGAAATGGATGGGGTCTTTTGATTAGACATTAATCTTTTAGACAATCAAATGGTTTCAAACTATCTTGAAGAAATAAAACAAAACCAAAGTCTCCTTCTTTCTATCCCCTCCCAGTCTTGTAGCTATGCTTAATGTTGTGTCTGAGTATGTACTCTGATTCCAACAGTTTAGTCCAGTGGTATGTATTGAACTTCTGTGTATATAGGATATATTCTTGGTACTGAGGTTACTATTATAAAGTAAACAAGAAACCCTCAAGTTTTTCAGCATTTAGTTGTGAAAATACACATATCAATGTTATGATGATTCAGAAAAATTAGGGAATGAGGGATGATGGAAAGAGTCCAGTATTGTGTAATTATGCTCAAGTTAACAGCAATGGCAATCAACATCTGTATAATATATCATAGTTTATAAACATAGTTATTGCTGAGCTTTATTTTGTAATTTTTACAGCCTTGTGCAGCAGATTTAGTTATTTATGGTTCCTATATAAAGTTCAGAGAGATTAAGAGATTTTTACCCAAGGTCACAAAGTTAGTAGGTGCTGGAGCCAAGACTACATTCCAAGTGTTCCATTATATTGAATGATGTGAATATTGTTGACCAATTTTGAACTATGAAATAGGTAATTTTGTGTGTTCAGCCTTAAGTTCAGGGTTCTTTCTACCTTAGAACACTTATCTCACTTCAGGTCTTTTATCCATAATGTGGTTGGTTTGAGCCTGTTGATAGAGAGGGGCCTTTTCTTATCTGTTTTAAACCACCATTAAAGAGGAAAGAGGAAGAGGCTGTTGTGAGTCAGGCAAGCAGCAGGCTCTCACTCCTTAGCCCTCTCTCTCCCTTAAATATGAGAAATTCTGAGTATATGGCATATATTACATCAGTGATTCTCAAATAGGATTCAGGAACCATCAGTGTTAACATCACCTGATAAATTACTAGAAATTCACATTAACTAACCCTGCCCCAGAGCTACTAAATTAGAAACTTTGGGGATAGAGCCCCTGATCTGAGTTTCAGTGAGTCCTCCAAGTGAGTGTGATACACATTACTGTTTGATAATTACTATATTAGGGTATGGTTTGTTTGTCTATACCTATAAGAATAATTGTATGCAGAGCCATACTACACAACCTATTATATATCAGCAAACAATTGCACTTTATATTTTTAAAACTACAACCTTTGACACTCATAAAAGATTTCTTAATGGGTTAATTCCTATCGATACAATAATCCAGGAGATGCTACAACACAGGACAACCTTTAGGGGGAAAAGAAGGTTAATAATTTTGATCAGAAAATAAAGCCCCCCGGATTTTCATTTAACTAGAAAAACTCTAACAACACAGAAACAATACCATTTGGATTAATTTAAAGAGAGAATTTAAACTTGGCTAGCTAAGAGGATAAAAAGGAAAATTGGAAAGCCATATTTGTACCATGCTGCTACTGTGAAAAGCTTTGAAAAATAGAGAGCAACTGTTGTTGGAGTTCATCTCTTCCTGCCTTACATAATAGAAACCTTAATCTTGTGCTTATTGATTGTTCCTGTCAGACCATAATTTTAAATATTTAAGCATAAATTGCCAAAAGGAGATAAAATTGTGGGTTTCCAAAAGCCAGATGTTACAAATAGAAGATAAAATCTGAAATAAAATGGAAATGCTCAATATGGCTTATTTAAGGTGGAAAATTTACTTCATAGATTATTTTTTCCATAATTTATGAAATTATGAGAGAAACCAAGATGGCGGCATAAGGTATATACCTATACATGCTGCCTCTCACGACTACACCAAAACTACAACTAAAGGACAAAATGCTATCACCCAGAACCATGGGAAAGCTGGCTGAGTAGTAGTTTTACAACTAGAAGGAAAGAAAAAAGGGCATTGAGACTGGGTAGGAGGTGCAGAGGCATAGAAAAGCAGAGGTACAAAGGAGCTCAAACTGGGCTGGCAACTTGTGTGCTGTTTTTTTTTGTTGTTGTTGTTTTTTTTTAATCAAGAGGGAGATACAAGCTCCCAACTCCTCTGAACTCCAACTTCTGGTGAGACTCTGGGGACCCAGACTCCCACGGGGAGAAACTGGACTGTCTGGCATCGGGTCAGAAAGCAAGGGTGGCTTTCTCACAGAGGTGCTTGAAGGAATCATTGTTACTACATGGGGGTGCGGGACACTGTGACGTGGAGACTGGTAGCCATGGCTGTTTGGTCCGCCCTGGTGACTCCCTGAGACTCCGCCCTTCCCAATTTAAAAACCCCTTTCAAGCTGTGCACACAGGTTTGGCATATGAATGGCCTGTCCTCTTGCAGCCTAACTTAACAAACTGCTGCTGGGTCAGAGAGCTCCAAAACTTCCAACCCATAAACAAAGAGGAGAAATCTGCAGATTTCCTGCAGCTCCTGCCGGGTGGCCTCAGACAGTGGTTGATTTTGCAACTCCTTGGAGAACCAGAAGCCAGTGTACCTAGTGGTCAGTGTGAGACGATATCAGATTGCAACTGGGGTACTTGCTCTTGACCAGGAATTTAACCCGCACCCCTGAGAGGGACGGGTCAATGCTCTAACCACTAGAAAACTGCCAGGGCTCTTAAGTAACTTCTTTGCATAAAAAAGACTAGGTGTTAAATTGAAGAGTTCTTACTTTGATAAAATAGCCACATTCTTCCTTCCTATTAATCTTCTATATTGTAGAAATATGATAGTGTTTCAGTGTCTTAAAAATACTCTTGTTTCTCATTCATTTGATAATGTTGCTTCTATAATTACCTTACATCTGACAAGAAGTCTTAGAAAAGATATTTTCTAAGCGTGAGAAAATTGCACTGCCTTACACCCAACTAAAAATCACACTGAACAAAGTTAAAATGTATGTTTGTGTCCTTGTTTTTAGGTGGACTATGTATTTACAGATAAAACTGGAACACTCACTGAAAACAGCATGGAATTCATTGAATGTTGCATAGATGGGCACAAGTATAAAGGTGTAACTCAGGAAACTGATGGACTCTCTCAAACTGATGGACCCTTAACATATTTTGATAAAGCAGATAAGGTAGCATTTTCTGCATTGCCATTTTACTTTGAGAAATCAATATATGTATGCATGTGTTAACCCTGCATAGTAAAAGTGAATTTTAGCTTATGGCAGACTTTTGAATAACCATTTGTTTCTTCTCTCATTTCACCTTGTTTTACTAACACCTCTAGAATATGTAAATAAATAGAAAGAATTATGGGAAATTGCATTGGGTAAAATTTCACTTCCCTGTCTGTGTGATCATAAATATTTTGTACTCTGTCTTTAAGATATGAGCTCTTCCTAGAATGATATCTATTCAAATCATTCTAGTCCCTGGAGTATCTAAGCATTAAATGAACCAGAGTTTCTCTGCACCTGAGCTATTGCCAGATTGTGAATTAGATACTGAATGAACTCTTTTAGGCAAGAAAAAGTCACCGCTTGGATATTAGGTAGCACTACACTAACCTGAATGAGTTAACACAGCTCCTATGGTATGTTAGCTGAGAATCAGGAATGCTGTTAGGAACTAGGAAGATAGCTTAGTTGAGTATTAAAAATTTATAAATTTCTGCTCACTCAGTCTGCTGGAGGTTATAATTTTCTCTCACATTAATATTTTATCTCTGTTCATGGACTAGTTACCAAGTGATCAGTGTGAAAGTCATATAGTCATTTTTTATTGTTACTGTTTAACAGAATCGAGAAGAGCTCTTTCTGCGTGCCTTGTGTTTATGCCATACTGTAGAAATTAAAGTAAATGATGCTGTTGATGGAGCTACAGAATCAGCTGAATTAACCTATGTGGCCTCTTCACCAGATGAAATAGCTTTGGTGAAAGGAGCTAAAAAGTAAGCACATGAATACATTCTACAGGTCTGCTCTAGAGTGTCATACCTATAGTTAATTTAACAATACAGTATTTTAGTATCACAGGTGTTTGCATGTATCCAAACTCATCAAATTGCATACATTAAGTATGTGGAGTTCTACATATATCAGGTAAACCTCAATAAAGATGTTTTAAAACCCTGAGATAAGTTGTTGAGAAATACATTAGCATTTTTGAAGAGTGAAAAAAAAAAGAAGCACTTCCTATACTTTTCTTGAGAAAGTGAAATCACAGGACAGGAGTTATTTTCACCCCCCTCTGTTTGCTTCAGTGACCTTCGCTTATAAAAATACATACTATTCTTTAGTAAAAAGTCAGCCTCCTTAATCTGAAAGTTCAGGAAAATTTTCCCAAAACCTAACCAATTAAGAGCAGAACTAAAATAGTAATGCATAGGTGTAACTTGTATTACTATTTATGCATACCAACCAGAAGTCTAAATGTTCATGTTATATTTTGCATATCATAACAATGGCCACTTTTTGTACAACACATTATTTCTGAAGTGCTCCCAGCAATTTTTACATCATTTGGTAAAGATAGTCCCATTTGACACATGAGGGCCAAGATAATTAAGTGACTAAAAGGTCACGCAGTGTGTTAGTAACATAATTGGATTTACAAATTGCCTCTTTTTTGGTTACAATATGTGACTGTTCATTGACTTGCTGTGTGTTATGTCAGCCAGTAAAGGGAAGATTATATATTGATATCATATAAAAGAGAAGAAAACAATAAAAGATCACAAGTAACCCCAGTGGAAATGAATCATTCTTTAGAGATATACAAATGTATTTTTTATTGTTTTTGACAGGTATGGGTTCACATTTTTAGGAACTCAGAATGGCCATATGAGAATAGAGAACCAAAGACAAGAAATAGAAGAGTAAGTAGCACTGTGTATTTGTTTGTCACGTCTTAATCCTACAGTCCACCTTAACTGAACCTAGTAAGGGCAGTAAAGGACTCATCTACAAGTGTAGGCCTTTGCTCTCCAGTTCAGAGTTGTATGTAAATGTAGTTGGAGGAGGAGAAAGTAATTTTTTTCATAGAATGGCAGAAAGTGAGAATTGATGTGGAAATGATTCCAGTTTGGTTCACATATAGATCCAGTAGCCTGAATGAGAGTCTGCCTGGACTTTCTGTCAGAAATTAAAATACCATTTCTGGTCTCGAACACATGCTGCAAGAAAAATCAGTGAACATGCATGAAACTTTATTTCCAGAACCCAACCAATAACTCTGGGATTTCAGGCCTAGCCAATCATGGCAGCTTTGGTGTTAGAAGCTTTGTCTTGTTCTAGATGATCAGGGTTGAGCCTCAGGGCAAATACTCTAAGGCATCAGTGGTTTTCCCTACAGAGACCTCAAGGAACAAAGCCATTTTAGCATAACAGCATATTTGAATTAGACTCTATGATTAATTTGAATTCCTTCATCTGAAGTTGAAATTTGATTATCTGACTTAAATGCTGGCCCCTAGCATCTCATGAAACTCATCTCATACCCTGTATACATGTAGGGAGGGATACTTAGAAACCAGAGGAAGCCTCTTTGGCCTGACTGCCAAGAACTCAGAGTAATCATCTGTCCAGATTCTAACCAGTTTGCAACCAGAGCGCCCCCCCCCCCATCTTGGCCAAAACAAAGTGAAATTCTACATATTTATGTTTTACTCACGCATGAACTCCTCCTTCCCATTAAAATCAAGCTTTGTAATATTTTTAGGCCAGATGCTTGGATCCAAATTGTTTATTTTAAAAAATATATTTTCCTCATGTAAATAATTTTAAAAATAACTCATGTTTTTAACCTTTTTCATCTTTTCATTTGATTCATATAGCTCAGCCATTCACACACAGATCTGATCATATCCTTCCATTGTTTAAACCTTTCAGTGGATTTCTATTGCTGTTAGGATAAAATCCCAAATCTCTGGCCCACAATGTTCTCATTTCCCAGGCCCTGCTTAGCGTCCTTACTATTTCCTCATCAATTAGATGTCAAGCCTTAGTGAACTACTTTATGTTCCCACTGTGGTACATATGTAATCATACTCCTGTGCCTTTGCACATGCTCTTCCCTCTACTCAGAATGCCATGCTACCCTTTCTTCATCATATCAATTCTAGAGAACACAGCTCAGGTACAACTATTTCCAAGAAGCCTTCCTTTGGATGTCTTCATTCTGCATACTCACATCTCCTCTGTGAGATCCTTTATTACAGGTTTTGGTAGACTAGAAGGTAGTCATCTTATTACCTTACCCTCTGTTTGCCTTATCATATAAGAAGCTCTTTGAGGGAAGGGTCTGAGGGGATACCTATTTATTTTCTAGCACCTAGCACTGTGCCTGACACATATTAGACATTCCATAGATGATTGAAATAATTGTAAAGGTGAGACTATTATTATATCCCTTCAGATATGGCTCTTTGGGACATCTTTTTGTCCCTTATTCTATATAGTCACTCACTTTTTATATTTTAAGTAGTATAATAAGAAGATACAGATACCCCTTACCAACAATGGTGTTCTCTGACAGCATTCTGTAAATGCAGAGACATTTCAAAAACACAGTAAAAATCCCCAGTTGTACACATAACTAGCACCCCTTACCCAAAGAGAAGAGTTTGGTTTATTAAAGATGTTTAAATATTTTAAGATATTTCTCTTGTGTTTTATTTTTCCCAGTGTGGTGTAGTATTTTACTTTTCTCATTTTTCTTCTCCAAAAGGTATGAACTTCTTCACACCTTAAACTTTGATTCTGTCCGCCGTCGTATGAGTGTTATTGTGCAGAATCAAGAAGGTATGCATTTTTAATGACTTTTTCTCTTTTCCATTTTAGATTTATATTTAATTAACAATTTTAAGAAAGAAAACATTAAATGCAATAGTATATGATTACCTAACGTCACATAAAGCAGTAGCTTCATATAGGCCTTAATGTATTTATATAAGTAAGCCCATGCATTCAGCTTGTCAAATTGTCATTGGTAGAACCCCTAGTCTGACAGTGTATGCCTTTTCTTGGAAACTGAGCTCTATTCAGTTATGGTTGTCCAAATAGGAACTGAAAGGGTGACTTTTTTGTTCCGGGTACTGATCAATGAACAATAATGTCTACATGCAGTAGCTCAGTATGATTGTGGGGTTTGCAATTACTAGCTGTAAAGTCCTTGAGTGTAGAGTTGCTGGTTATCCCTCCCTGACTTTCCTCAATTCCTATTGGTTTATACTCCCTGGAGGTTGGTGAGCTAGAAATAACTAATGGTCAGCCTAATATGAAAGAGCATTGTTATTTTACTTCAGCATTCTGGCATCTTTGACAGTTAAGAAGCTTGCCCTTTGCTTGCAAGGGAACCAGTAACATCATCCCAGAGTTCCCCCGTATCTTTGGGAGGAGCTATGGTGGTTGGGATACCTTCTGCTCGAATTCAGCAAGACTCATAAGAATGCTTCATTTGGGGGCTCTCAGAAACCTCTGTATCTATTTATGTTTGTGTATGTGTATATGTCTGTGTCTGGGTGGTTTTTTCAAAATATCCTTGATTAATTTTCTCTCTTTTTTAAAAATATATTTTATTGAGTATTTTACAGAGAGGAAGAGAGAGAGACAGAGTGGTAGAAACATCGATGAGAGAGAAACACCGATCAGCTGCCTCTTGCACACCCCTTCCTGGGGATGTGCCCGCAACCAAGGTACATGCCCTTGACCGGGATCGAACCTGGGACCTTTCAGTCTGCAGGCCAACACTCTGTCTACTGAGCCAAACCGGTTTCAGCCTTGATTAATTTTCTAGTAATTTACTTTTTAGTATTAAATCTGTTGCAAATTCCTAAATGTGAGAAAAGGAAGATATAGACAGACTCTTGAGGGAATGTATCCCACTTTATTCATATTTTTTGGTGTGATTGCAAATGAAACTGATTTCAGTATGTTAATGTACCATTTGCTTTGTGACTTTTAAACAAATTGGATGTGTGAGAGAAAATGAAAAAAAAAAAGCACATTTGAAATACTTGCTGTTTTTATCTGTGCCCATGCATATATGCATTTTACTGCAAATGGTGAGATATCTAGGGAAGTGGTATGCCAAGGGCCTTAACCTCAGAGCAACACTATAATTTTTTAACTTGTTGGACTTAGCATTTTGCCTTATAAGGATGAAGGGCCTTTCTTCATGCTCAACTGTTACTGCTTTCCTGGGTGCACGGACTGATATAAAGCTGTAGTTGTGCTACTAAGTACAGTGTATTCTCAATATCTTCTACAAAGCTAGTCTCAAGTTTCTGGTAAAAACCGTCAAGCCACTGTTTTAAAAGTTAATTTATATAGTTAATTTAAAATTATTTTACCTTGTTTGAGATTAAGTTTGGTCCTTGACATCAGTAGATGCCACAGACCATGGCTGACATTTTCAAAGATAATTCAGGTACACTTGACACAAGCATAGTCTTTTGTGATTCACTAGAAGGAAGTATATTTTAACAGAAGTGCATGTTGTAAACTCTGAGTTATTACTTGTGTCTATACCAATCTGAAGAGGTGGTAAATATTGTCCTGACCATGCAAAAGGTCAAGATGTCTCAGTCAATTTTGGTGAGCATTTTAAGACAGGCTCAGGATACATAATAGCTGAATGGAAATATCCACCCTAATCATTCAATGTTATTAGTCCCTGTACAAGGCTTAAAAATCTAAGTCGACTATTTTGGTTTTTCATTTTAGGAAGCATACTTCTCTTTTGTAAAGGCGCCGACTCAGCGATTTTTCCCAGGGTGCATAATCATGACATTGAGTCAACCAAAGCCCATGTGGAACGAACTTCAATGGTGAGCCTTCACTCCAACCCCCAAGAAATAGAGAAATGCTGGAAATGACTTATTTAAATATCTGTTTAAGTGAATTTTAGCTTCTCTTTATGGTCTATTTTTATATTTGGGGCTTTAGTAATAGTATTTACCATATTTTAATATAAAATATTTTTCTAGAGCAAGTTTCTCTTCAGAATGTGGAGCCTTAAAAACTTTTCAAAAACGCATTATGTTCTGTGGGTTTTTTTTGCCCCCAGAGATATTTTGTTATTTTTAACTTAATTGTATGTTACCTTTTTAGTTGTAATTTTTTCTTTTTTTAAAACTAAAAAATATATCAGAATTTCTCTTTGTTTGGTAAAGTAAGAGTACTTAAAGAAAATGTGTTTTTCCCCCTTGTTATTGGATAACTATAGATCTCCTACTTTGCTTCTAGGATGGGTATCGGACACTTTGTGTAGCCTTCAAAGAAATTCCTCCAGATGATTATAAAAGAATTGACAGACAGCTTGTAGAGGCAAAAATGGCCTTACACGAGAGAGAAGAAAAATTGGAAATGATTTTTGATGATATTGAGACAAACATGAATTTACTTGGAGCCACTGCAGTGGAAGACAAGTAACTAGAAAATAATGTTCTCGCTATTTTAATGACCAGTCATTTGGAGTGGTATCTGTTCATATTAGTAATTTAATCTCAAATTTTGAAATCTTTGATTTTGCTTTGTCTACACATCAGATTTTGAACTATTTATGGGAATGATTATTAAGTTAATTATTTGTGGTTTAGATGAATTAATCTGGCATCTTTAAGGTCTTTTGAGTACTTACTAAGCCATTCATTTAAATATGCAGATATTTATGAAATAGTTTTACTAGGCATAGGGAACTTTGTGCTGAAGACATCATTTAAGCTAAACTAGTGCCTGGTAAAATGGGTCAAATTTTTAAAAAATATTTTTTTATTAATTTCATAGAGGAAGGGAGAGGAAAAGAGAGATAGAAGCATCAATAATGAGAGAGAAATATTGATTGGCTGCCTCCTGCATGTCCCTCACTGGAGATGAAGCCCATAACCTGAGCATATGCCCTGACCAGGAATCAAACTGTGACCTCCTGGTTCATAGGTTATGCTCAACCAATGAGCCATACCAGCCGGATAAGAATCGGTAAAATTTTGACAGAGATAAGCAGAAAAGAAATTTCAAGATAGAACAAATAACATGAGAGTTCATTCTAACCTGGTTTAACTGACTAGAGATTGTTTTTGCATACTTTAAAATGATTTACTTTAATTATATAGGCTGAGCTCTGACAGACATGATTATAGGGCTCCAACAATTTTAGACACTTAATATTGGAGAGATATTTAGGAATTATAAATGCCGATTGTTGAGACTTAACCAAACAAAAAGTTACAAACATATATTTAGCCATATTGGAAGGTACTGCAATTCTAATGAAATTCATTTAGTTTAATTTTATTTTTATTCTCTTGACAAAGTAATCAAAGAAAGTATCATTCTCGTTTTATTCCTGCCTTTAAGAATTATGCTTAAATTCTCTTTCAGGATGGTTGGCTTTTCTGTTCTTAAAGCTCCTCAGGGATGGGATTCACTAACTTTCCTCAATATCTTTTTTTATATTTTTAATTTTTTTCTAATTTTACAATTACAGTTGACAGTACCTGTTCGTTTCAGGTATATAGCATAGTAGTTAGACATTTATATACCTTATGAAGTATTTCCCCCTATAAGTTTAGTACCCACCTGGCACCATGCATAGTTATTATAATATTATTGTCTATATTCCCTGTGCTACACTTTACATCCCTGTAACTATTTTGTTCCCTCAATATCTTATTAGAATGTCTTTGGCCCTTTCTGTTTTAAACCATGTAAAGTATCTCTGTGGTGAGACATAAAATAAAATTTAATGTGCTAAAGTGACAATGAATAAGAATGCTTGGTGAGTTCCTGAACATTTTAACTAAGAATGCTGATTCTCAATTCTACCATAGGATACCAGTTTTATCTAGAGATGTCATGAATTTGTCCAGACCTCATTCTTTGAAATTCACTTTAATAAGCAAAACTGTGTCAGAGAGAACACTCTCAGCACAGAGGATACATAAGAAAACTAACTGTGATAACATGTCAGGACACCAAAAATGCTTGAATTATAAAAATATTCTCTTTAACAAGCCTTCTTGCAGAATCTCTGCTGGGAATTTTTTAGGATAACGAGTTTTCCTTTGTGTTCTCAGGCTACAAGATCAAGCAGCTGAGACTATTGAAGCTCTGCATGCAGCTGGTCTGAAAGTCTGGGTGCTTACTGGGGATAAGATGGAGACGGCCAAATCCACCTGCTATGCCTGTCGCCTTTTCCAAACCAGCACTGAGCTCTTGGAACTGACCACAAAAACCATTGATGAAAGTGAAAGGAAAGAAGATCGATTACATGAATTGTTGATAGAATACCGTAAGAAGTTGCTGCATGAATTTCCTAAAAGTACTAGAAGCCTTAAAAAGTAAGAAAATGCATCAGTTTCTTATATTTAGGCATTGGTACAGATATAAATCATAGCTGTTTACGCAGAAGGCTGTTTTTTTATTTAACATTCTTTGTTTGCTGGTATTTTATCCTTTAAATTAAAAACATTCCCCGAGGATGTAGCTAATGGCCCAGTTTTAATTATTTGGTACTTCTCACCTCTAGTTTAAAAGAAAACCATGCACTTCTCAAGGTTTATGAAACTAGTTCAGTTTCTCAATATTTAGGGCCTGGGTATTTAGCATTAATATTCTGGCCTGGTCCATGTTAATAAAAAATACGTATTTTCACAGTCTGTTCAAACTGAATGTAATAAAACTGATCTCTATAATAGTTTACATATATTTTGAGCCCCTAGAGCCATTTTCTGTGTTGATTTTCATGCCACAGAATTCCAAAAGTAACCAAATTCTTGTTAACATGGACACTTGGATTCTGCTTTCAACTAGCTGCTTAGGAAGAACTGTGGAACCCATGATCTCAAGGAAAGGCACTGATCCACAATAATTCAATGATATATTTTTCTAGAATTATCATTGACTAGGGCTTAGCCTTATCTGAACCAATTATTGGGATTTACCTTGGCTATAAGGAAATTTATTCCCTCTTTAGGATGTGCATGCACTAAATTCAAAGACCCCTAGATAATACTGTTTTTCATTTCTTGAGCACCCCCTTTGTTCTAGGAACAGTGTTAAGCACTTTATATAATTATTCTCATTTAATCTTCACTACAACCCAGAAAGGCAATCTTATTTTCTTCAACTTACAGATAGGGAAACTGAGGCTTTGAGTCTATCCTATTCCAGAGTCCATGCTATATCTTTAACAACTATACTATATTGGCACCTTCATCTCTGTTGTTTAAACAAACTTTAAAAATGAATAGCCCAGCTGAGTCCGGTTTGGCTCAGTAGACAGAGCGTCGGCCTGCGGACTGAAAGATCCCAGGTTCGATTCTGGTCAAGGGCATGTACCTTGGTTGCAGGCACAACCCCAGTGGGGGGGGGAGCAGGAGGCAGCTGATTGATGTTCCTCTCTCATCGATGTTTTAAACTTTCTATCTCTCTCCCTTCCTCTCTGTAAGAAATCAATAAAATATACTTTTTTTAAAAAAATGAATAGCCCACATTCACGAGGCTATGGCCAATTCTAAAACAGCAGTTTTTCTTCTGGTATTTGGGCATCAATGAAAATAAACAGGTTTTTATGACTACAGTTTCCTTCCTTTAACCAAATGATACTTATTAAAGGCAGTACAAATTACAAGCATTTTACTTGTCCATTTGTCTTAGTCTGCTTGAGTTACCATATCAAAATATTAATAACATAGACTGTGTGGCTTATCCAGTGGAAACTGATTTGTCATATCTGTGTGGTCCCTCTTTCTAGCTTGCAGAAGGCTGCCTTTTCACTGTCTCTTTACATTGCGGGGCGGGGCGGGGGGAGCTCTGGTGTCTCTTCTTATAAGGGCCCCACCCTTATGAACTTATTTAAACCTGAGTATCTCCCAAAGACTCCCATCTCCAAATACCACCACATTGGGGATGAGGGCTTCAAAATAGGACAAAGTAAGGGGCACAATTCAGTTCATAGCACCATTCAGCAACTCTGGAGCACTTTTATAAAAGCCAGGGCTTATGAAATCCTTTACTTCTTAGCTCAGAACATTTCCTCTTCCTGGCTCATCTGTTTGGAGTTGTGTGAGTACAGTCTTTTCCCCAGGTTACATAGATGTCAGACCTAGAATCACGTCTGCCAGCTTCTTCTTTGTCCCTTCCACTTTAGGTCAGCCACCAAGCTTTATTCATGTTCTCATTTTTTTAAATTAATTAATTAATTAATTTTGATTTTTTTTTTGCCCCCCTCTCTCCCTCCCATACATACCCTCCCTCCCCAGAGTTCTATGTCCATTGGTTGTACTTATATGCATGTATACAAATCCTTTGGTTGATCTATTATCTTCCCCAGATCTCCCTCCCCTCCCCACTGTAATTTGACCGTCTGGTTGTTGCTTTACTGTCTCTATATCTATCTTTTGGTTCTCATTTCACCACTGGTGTTCCACATCATATGTTGTAGCAACCCATGCCTCAAGTCCCTTAAGCCCCTCTTCCAGACAAGTGGTCCTTAAATGTGAAGAACTGCCTATATCTCATCCCTGCTCGGAAACCTTAAGTGGTTCTCCATTACCCACAGAATCAGTTTGTACCAAAGGCCTCAAGTAACGTTTTCATTTTGCTTTCCTAGTGCACTACAGGATACGTTCTCTCCACACACCACTTTCTGCCCTGTCTTTCAAGTTCCATTTCAGATATCACACCTCACAAAGAACCCACTATTCTTCCTCTGTATTTATTGTCCCAATCACTGGATAGTGACTATTTAATATCTTGTTTGGTTGGTTATAGTCTTATCATGTATGCTTTTGTCACCCCAAAGAGATTTTTTTCTGTTTTCCAAGGAAAGAGTAATTAATAATTCCTTTCATTGTATAAAATTGATGTTTACAAATATTGCTTGATTGATTATTGAGTCACTGCTTTCTGTACATTAAGTCTGCTCTGTGGGTAGGGGAGCAAAGAAGGTGAACATGTGAATGATATCTCTTTAGTTAGTGAAAAATGGTCATAAAATTATAAAGCAAAATGTGAATATGTACAAAATATTATGGTGCTAGCAATATACAACAAAGAAATATGGCATAAAGGATAAATTAGGCATATTAGGCTCTCACTACTCAAAGTTTGGTCCATAGAACAGCATCTCCTTTACCACCAGAAGCTTGTTAGAAATATAAAATCTCATGTCCCACCCCAAACCTATTCAATCAGAATCTACAAGATTCCCAAAAAATTTGACAAGATTCTTTAAGCATTAAAGTTTGAGAGGCATCAAGTTAGACAAGTGAATTTATAATGATGAGATCAAGCTGTCTTTTTTTTTTTTTAATATGTTTTATTGTTTTTTTGCAGAGAGGAAGGGAGAGAGAGAGCTAGAAACGTCGATGAGAGAGAAACATTAACCAGCTGCCTCCTGCACACCCCCCACTGGGCATGGGCCCGCAACCAATGTACATGCCCCTGACTAGAATCGAACCTGGGACCTTTCAGTACGCAGACCGACGCTCCACCACTGAGCCAAACCGGTTTCGGCCAAGCTGTGTCTTAATACTTTCACTGCAGTGGTTCTCAAATACCACCCAAAATTTCCTGAGCTAACATTGACTAATTATTGTGTTGTTTTTTTCTTCATTATAAAAAATAAATAAAAATAATGACATGTTAATTGGTAGAATTTTCTCAGTTGTAAGTTTTCCCCTCATATGTTTTTCTTAAATACTTGGCACTGGTTACATTTTTCTTCCCTGGCTATGCATAAGACTCACCTGAAGAGCTTTTGAAAGCATTAATATATGTAACTGGGCCCTACCCAAGATACTCTGATTTAATTTATCTGGGGATAGTCCTCACACATGGGCAATTTTTTATTTTATTTTTATTAAATATATTTTTATTGATTTCAGAAAGAGAAAGAGAGAGGGAGAGAGAGATAGAAACATCAATGATGAGAGAGAATCATTCATCGGCTGCCTCTTGCATGCCCCCTACTGTGGATTGAGCCTGAAACCTGGGCATAAGCCCTTGACTGGAAAAGAACCTGGGACCCTTCAGTCTGCTGGCAGGCGCTCTATCCACTGATAGAACCAAACCACCTAGGGTACATGGGCAGTTTTTTAAAACTGCTTAGATGTAATTCTAATGGGAAGGCTATGGCTGAGAACACTAATCAAGTATATATAAAATGATACTTATTTAATGAACATATATTATTATATGGTATTCTTTAATGAACACCATATATTTTAGGTGCTCTATCACATTTGAGAAGCCTGGTCTACTGATAGTTTGTCATTCAGGCAAAACATTAGGAAAAGTTCTTCTGTGACTGTATATCCCAAAGCCATTTTGTCTTTTACTTATATTTTTAAGGAGCTTTTAGATTGACTAATGACTTATGTTTATATCAGAGTTTGAATGATCTGTAATTTCCCAAATTTACCTTCAGTTTTTTATAGAGACTATTAAATGCCCATTAATGTTTTTTCTTTATTGATTAAGGTATTACATACGTGTCCCTATTGTCCCATTGCCCCCTTGTCTATTATTTTTATACCATTTAGAACTTAATGTTATTTATATATGCAGGTTGAGTCTCAAACGTGTGATAAAAAGTCTCTGATGTGCCTTTATTAGAGACGGTTGCTTCTTTAGAATGTATAGGTTTAGGAATCAGATTGATGATGACTTATGGGAGATCCTCCTCCTTATAGTTAAAAAGAAATAAAGTTCCTAAATAGAATTGTATAATAGATTCAAATACAGTATTATTTTTTTATTTTCAGAGCATGGACAGAACAACAGGAATATGGATTAATCATCGATGGCTCCACATTATCACTCATATTAAATTCTAATCATGACTCCTGTCTTAACAATTACAAAAGCATTTTCGTACAGATTTGTATGAAGTGCACTGCAGTGCTCTGCTGCCGGATGGCACCATTGCAGAAAGCACAGGTAACTGGATATTAGTTAATGTTCTGTTTTGGGGACTTCTATGTACGTGTGCAAATGTTCACTTTACTTTTTATTTGTTTCTTCTTTTACGGGCCATTATTACCTTATTACATCTTCCCCGGCATCATCCTCTTTGTGGTCAAAGTTAGGAATATTCCTACCAATTTGAATCAAACAAGCCTTGTTTTTCCCTCAAGCTGGCTGTCCAGTCCCTCACTTTCCAAACTTCCCTAATGAATGTTTGGTGCCTGCTGCCTACCCTGGTGCCATGTGTTCTTTCTTTTTATCTTACTCTGTTGGCTTGCCTGAAGGAGAGCAATTACTTTCTAGCTAAATCCATCATACTATCTTCTATTCTCCTCCTCAGTTCTTTGCTGCAGATGACACTATCAATTATATTCTCCTTAAAATAAATTCCTCCCTTGTTTTCTATGATGGTTTACACTCCTGACTCCCCCCCCCCCGCCCCCGCTACTTGGCAGTCTAGTGTCTTTATATTTTGTTTCATTTTCTATCTTTTCCCTAATTATCAGTTTTCACTGGTCTTGATTTTTCCCCTCGTTAAATCTCATATTTCTGGCTGCCTGCTCAACAGCTCCATATGGATTCTCCACTGTCACATTAAATTCTAGTGTTTAAAACAGATCTTACAATTTTCTCCTTCAGGCCAGTTTGTTTTATATCTTTATTATTCCTGTTACCAATGCCATTTTTTTTTTTTTTTTTTTTTTTTTTTTTTTTTTTTTTTTTTGCTTTCTAAGTCTGCAAAGTACCTCTGACTCTACTCTTCTCCTTCACTCCATTTATAGGCACCATGTCCTGTTGATTCTACCTTTTATCATAGCTCTCATTTTAGTGCCATCTTTTTAAACCTTTTACCTCTAGCCCATTCTTTCACAATTCCCCCTTTAATATCTTTCCCCACACTCCCAAATTAATCTTACTAAAACACTACTTCTCTCATCATATATTCTTGCTCTGACACTTTCAGTAGTTTCCTAGTCTCTTAGGAGGAAGGACAGATAACTCAATGTGGGACTCAGGGCTTACCCTGTGGCTGTTGGGTCCACCATAATTTCTGTATCCAGTGTGAATTGTTCCCCCTTTGTGTGCTTCCAACATGCTGTACACTTGCCAACCTCCAAGCTTTTCTCATATCGTATCCTCATCTGGGATTCTCTCAAATTGTTCCTGGTCTAACAAAAATTATAAATCCAGCTCAAGCCCACTGCCATATGCTTTCCCCCCCAGCTCTTCCAGCCCACGTTGATCTGCTTCACCTTTCTTTCTTGTACTCACTGGGTCCAAGGAACTTTAGTCTCAGTGACATACTTTTTCACTGCTCTACACACTGTATTCTATTATATGTATTATGCTTGCTTCTTCAGATTCTTCATCTACTTGCTCTACATGCAGTGGAGGACTATGTCTTTGGCTTCTCCACATATAACTTGCCCCCTGCCTTACACATGCATGCACACGCATGCCCATCTTAATTTAAGGCATTGTCTCTGTCTACTTTCATCTCACTCTCAATTCCCACCATAGTCAGGTGCTTGTCTTTTTTGCTTAACTCTCAGAGCTATGGTTGGCCCCAGCTGGGGAAGCACATCCTGCCAAAAGAGGATCCAAAAAAAAATCTGTCCCTTTAGTAAGAAGCAATACCCCCCCACACACACCTTACAATCATTGTTGCTTAAGTTGCTTACCTGGGTTTTGACTCCATTGCCCAGGGCTGGTGTCTGAATTCCTGACCATATGCTAAATCTCCCACCCATAATATGGAGCTCCGTGTGGTACAATCCTCACTCTGTTTTATTTCTCTTTATATATAGTCATTTCTGGGCTATCACTTACTCATCTGTCATGGCCATATAGGTGATTTTCAAGTCATTTCTCCAATCTTTGGGCTTAATTTTATTTCTGTAACTTCTTATTGAACATATCTTGGATGTGTCATTATCACCTCAACTCAGCCATCTCTAGAGTCCAACTGTCATTTTCCTTGTCTTTTTCTATATCTACTAGAAGCCCAGTGTATGAATTTATGCATGGATGGGATCTGGCTGGCCCAACCCCAATTGGCAGATTGAGGTCGAACCTCTCAGGAGGAGGAGACAGCAGGAGGTTGGCCATCTGGCCTGCCTCAGGGTCAATCAGGGCCAGGCCAGCTTGGGGGAGGGGCTGTGGGTAATTGGCTTGTGGGCCCTGCCCCAAATTGGGGTGAGGGCGGCAGATTAGAGGCAGGGCAAACCATGGGGAAGGGCTGTGGGTCGTGGGCTGGCTGGCCCTGTCCCCAAATGGGGCCAAAAGAAGGGCCAATCAGGGGTGGAGCTGGCTTGTGGTAGGGGGCCTGGGTGGTGGAATGGCTGGCCATACCCCTGAATGGGGTGGGTAGCCAATGGGGGCCAGTGGCCTGGGTGGTTGGCTAGCCCTGCTCCTTCTCAGAGTAGCCCTGCTCCCTCTCAATTGGAGGCAGAACTGGCTGGGCGGAGGAGCCATGGACTGATTGGGGTGGTGGGGGGTCCATCAGGGCACACAGACACAGGAAGGTTGTTTCCTGCAGCTCGCATTCCCATGACCAGACCCCAGGTTCACTCAGGGCAGCTGCACCACCTGACTTTGATTCTGGGTGAGGTCACATGTAAATCTGTCTCCTGCAGCACAGGAGTAGACCTCCCGCCAACTCAGGACACCTATGTAATCTGGTCCCCTAAGCGGGACCATCATTCTCCATGCAAGAGGCAGCACTGAGCACCAGTGACTTGACTGTTTCTCATCACCCGTGCATGGGATCTCTGATTCTGAATACACAGACACTAAGAGCTAGTGACTCCAATACTCGGCACATGCACTAACAGGGACCTGATTCTCCAAATTCTGCATCCAAGAATACTTTATCCACCAAGTGACAGAGACTCCATACTCAATTCTCAGTGCAGGAACAGGGGAACACTGACTCCTGGCATGCACTAAGGGACTCAGATTTTTGGCACACAACAGTAGGGTCTCTTTTTCAGAATGGTGCAGGCGGGGTCCCTGATTCTAGGTATACGCACGAGGCCTCACTGAGCGCCAGTGACTCTGATCCTTGGTGAGAGGGGCTCCCACAGACCCATAGTAGCCACATGACTTGGTGTCAGAGCTCTTCAGTAACACTTAGGTGTTGTGAAGCTCCCACAGCACACAGCCCAGGCCCCCACAACTTGGTGATTGGACCTTCAGGTGATAGTTAGAATGGGGAGACAACAAAACAATCCCCAGAGGAAAGAAAAAGAGAAATCGCCAAGAAAAGAAATAAGTGAAACTGAAGCATGGAACATGACCGAAAAAGAATTCAGAGTAATGGCCATACACTTCATAAACTGGATGGACAAGAAAATCAATCTATGCAAAATTCAGGAAGAAATAAAAAGTGATATAACTACAATCAGAAACACCATGGAAGGTTTCAGACTAGAAGAAGCAGAGGACCAAATTAGTCAGTTAGAAGATCAGGTATGGAAACAAGCCCAAACTGAACAGCAGCTGGAGAAAAAAAATTAAAAAGCAGGAGAAAAGGGAAATCAAGATGGCAGCATAAAGTATACAACTGTACATGTTACCTTTCACAACCACACCAAAACTACAACTGAAAGACAAAACGACTACCACCCAGAATCATGGGAAAGCCAGCAGAGTAGAAGTTCTACATCTAGAAGGAAAGAAAGAAGCTCATTGAGACTGTGTAGGGGAGGTACAGAGGCTCAGAAAAGCAGAGGTAAATTGGTGCACACGTGTGTGAGCAAATCAGTGCACTATTTGTTCCAATTGTAAGGGAGATACAAGCTCCCAACTCCTCTGAACTTCAGTTTCCAGTGAGACTATGGGGACCCAGACTTCTACAGGGAGAAACTGGACTATCTGGCATCAGGTTGGAAAGTGAGGATGGCTTTCTCACAGAGATGCACACAGGAATCATTGTTTACTGAGCTGGGACATAGGATGCAGAAACACAGAGATGCAGAGACAGCTCAATGGCAGCCATCGCTGTTTGCCACCCCCTAGTGGTTCCCTGAGACCCCGCCCCACCCAATTTACGAAACTACCTGAGCTGTGCCAGGCAGCTTTTGCATATGAATGACCTGCCCTTTCACAGCTTTACCTAACAAATTGCAGCTAGGTCAGACAGCTCCAAAACTTCTAAACCCTAAGCAAAGAGGAGAAATCTGCAGATCTTCCTGTAGCTCCTGCTGTGTGGCCTCAGACAGCTGACTTGCACCTCCTTGGACATCCAGGAACCAGTGTACCTAGAGGTCAGTGTGAGATTACACCAGATATTATGCTAACGGAATAAGCCAGTCAGTGAAAGAAAAATACCACATGATCTCACTCATGTATGGATAATAAAGAACATTATACACTGATGAACAATAATAGATACAGAGGCTGAGAAGCATGGAACAGACTGTCAAACTACAATAGGAAGGCTGAGAAGGGATAGGGGGAGAGGTAAGAGATCAACTGAAGGACTTGTGTGCATACATATAAGCATAACCAATGGGCGCAAGACACTGGGGAATGGAGGGGGGAACATGTGCTGGGGGGTGAAGGAGACTGGTAGAAAGTCAATGGGGAAAATGAGAAGACATATACTACTATTCGTAACACTTTAAACAATAAAGTAAAATAAATATAATAAAATATTAAACAACAAAATAAAATAAATGAAATATAAGTAAAATAAATTAATTGACCCACCAATGTCTCTCAATGGTTGTGTGTGGACCCAGGAACCAAGAAGGTACCAGAGGTTCGATTCCCGGTCAGGTTACATACCCAGGTTGTTGGCTCGATCCCCAGTAGGGTGCATACAGAATGCAGCCAGTTGATGTTACTGTTTCTCTCTCATTGATGTTTCTATCGCTCTATCCCTCTCAATTTCTAAAAATCAATAAAAACATAGTTTAAAAATGGATTTTATTTATGTTAACTATTGAAAGCAATTGTGAAGACATAATTATTGCAAGGCATTTTTTAACTGCTGGATTATATAAACTTTTAAAAGCTACTAGATTCCCTGGGGTTTTGAGGGTTGACACATAAAGCAGTCATTATCTAAAACATAGGGTGGGAGGACAACTGTTTACCGAATATACTTCTCACAAGTAACTCCACCAGATTTATTTTATTCAGTACCTACCATGAACACAGCATTGTGCTCTGTCATCGACACCTTGAAGAGACACTCAAGGAATAGTGACAGGCTTTTTACATATATCTCAGATACTTTATAAAAATTTCACCACCTTTAAGATGTCCCTTTTTAAAATACAGCTACTGCCCTAGCTGGTTTGGCTCAGTGGATAGAGAGTCTGCCTGCAGGCTGAAGGGTCCCAGGTTCTATTCTAGTCAAGGGTATATGCCTGGAAAGTGGCTGGAACCCCAGTAGTGCAGGATGCAGTTGATCAATGAATCTCTCAAGTTTCTATCTCTCTTTCCCTCTACCTTTCTCTCTGAAATCAATAAAAATATTTTTAAAATAAAATGCAGCTACCTATAGGAAAGATGAAATAATCATATTTGTCAGTGGAACAAATTTAGTGGCAGCTAGATGAGTGCAATAATTTAATGTTGGAAAAGTCCCTTGGAATAAGGGTTGGGATGCAACCAGGGAGAGTGTCAGCAGGGAGGAGAGAGGGAGAGATTCCCCAAAACATTGTCCTCTCACTTCCCACTTTTGTTTTGGTAGCCCTATGCATGATACCACAGAACAGCTTTCTGGTCTCTATTGTCACACATTCAGCGCTGATCTGAAAAGACACATGCAGCTATAACAAAAGAGAAAACAAGTTGTCCTCTAATATAGATAAGAGGCAGGGATTTTGACATTCATACATTCACAGAACTAGAAACAAGTGCACACTGGTATTATATTTTTTCTTTTTTATTGAATTTATTGGGATAACATTGGCTAATGAAATTATATAGCATTCAGGTATACAATTGTATAATACATCATCTGTATATTGTATTGTGTGTTCACCACCCAATTATTACATTTTGAAGAGCTGTGTTCTGCCTCTGAGATTTGAGACTATTGCACATATATGCACAAACTCCCTTTCTATTTGTAAGGCCAAAATTTACAAGTGTGAATGAGGCATCTACCCCTGATATAGTGCAATCTCACCTTCAGCTTTGACCTTTCCTATACCTCTTTTGTATTTAATGTTTAGATTGTCAGAATGGTGAAGAATTTAAAAGGGAGCCCAATAACACTGTCGATAGGCGATGGTGCCAATGATGTCAGTATGATCTTGGAGTCCCATGTGGGAATAGGTAAGAAACATCTAATGAGATGGCAGCTGTAAGGCATCAGTATTGCTTTCAGATAGAGTGGTCCTATATTCTAGAGATTATTTTGGTTGCTCATCCTGAATTCTAATTTTGGTATAATAATTGTTAATTGAATGAAGGTTTGCATTTGATCATGTCACATGTCCATCCCAAAGTCCTATTCCTGGGGCAGAGGGGGGATTAGAAATACAAAGTTGAGGATTTTTTTATATGATTCAATTAAAATTAATTTCCTAAACTTACTGGTAGCACAATTGATCTTACTTTGACAGCATGATGGAAATTTTACTGATTTTCCCCTCCTGGCCAGATTGCCTCCTTATGTTGCTGCACTATGTCTTTTGAGATACTTAACTGTTTGGTACTAAGAAATGATAATTGCTTGGCTGGTTTTCCATATGGAGTTATTTATGGGTGGTTTGGGCTGTAGTCTTGAATTTATATGTTGGCATGTAAAATAGCCTGTACCTTTTTTCCCTTGTCAGGCTCTTGGTAGGCAATAATCCTAACACCCCAGCAAGTTGTGTTTTTGTTTTGTTTTTGAAGGGGGAGAAACAATGGAATTAGCATCTTGGGAATTATTATACTGCAGTTTGAATTCCCAAATTTTTCTTCATTTGAAAGTAGCCATATGTTGTGTGGAACTCTTAGTTCTATTCTTTGGTTAGCCAGTGTGAAAATGGCCTAAAGCAGCTTGAGCTCAGAGAAACGGGCTACTACAGAGAGTTTCATTCAGTGAAAGAACTTGTAACGTTTCAGTTTTGAGTTCCTAGACCATAAATCCCAGGTCTCTGATTTGCTTTAATATTGTACCCAGTCTAGTGCCATGCACAATTAAGCACTAAGTGGCTTTAAAGTAAGTTCCAGATTTAATTTTTTTCTCAGGATAATTTTGCCTTATAATGATTAAATAATTATTCTATTTAATTGTTGTATATTGTGTTATAAATAGGTAATTATCAATTACACTTAGCATTATATTTATTGGTAATTCTCATTGAGATTGTTAAAGAAAGCACTTTTTGGTTAAACACATAAGGAAGTTTTATTCTATAAAATACTCACCCTAGAGATTTTCTTTTTTTAGGTATTAAAGGCAAAGAAGGTCGCCAAGCATCCAGAAATAGTGATTATTCTGTTCCAAAGTTTAAACATTTAAAGAAACTGCTATTGGGTCATGGACATCTATATTATGTGAGAATATCACACCTCGTACAGTATTTCTTCTATAAGGTATGTGATCAAGTATTTGCAATGTAATTTAAGACTACTTAATCGAGCATTGGCTCAATTTAGTCATAGTGTTTTTCCTCCTCTTCCCATGTTTCTTTTGCTGTCTTCTACTGAAATTTGTAGTTAGCAAGACAGATCTATTTATGATATTGTAAACCAGAAATTTTTTTTAGTGCAAGAAATTTGAGATGAAATTTTAAGTGAAGTTTAAATACAATAAAATGTACCCATTCATAGTGCAGAAAACCCTCAAGTTTACAAACCTCAATTTAACCAGCTTTTGACTTAACAGACAAAATTTCCAGTCTCTGTTATATGTAAAACTTAACACCCTTTTAATTTTAAAATGCTTTTAACCAAGAGTTGCTTATATTAAATTAAGGCTTTTTGTTGTTGTTGTTGTTAGTTCACTGTTATTTTTAACAAATTTTAGCGAATAGGCCATATGCTGGAAAAAAACCACTATAGTAATTTCACTGACATAAATATTACATATCTACAACTACAGTCTACATATTTAAATCTAAGAGTCACTGCTCGTAAAACAATGCTTGGTGAATGATTAGCACATGATCACACTGCATTGCAGGTGGTAATTAGTTATAGTGTGACTTTCTACAGCAGGTTTTTTTTTTTTAATCCTCACCTAAGGATATTTTTTCCAATGTTTTTCAGAGAAAGTAGGAAGGAGGGAGGGAGGAAGGAAGAAAGGAAGGAAGGAGAGAGACATTGTGGACTGGTTGCCTCCTACAGACACCCTGACCTGGTCACACCCACTGTACCCCCTGCCGGACTGATCGCCCCCCAGCTACCTTCCTACGCCACTGGCCTGATCACTCCTCACTGGCCCCACATGCCGGCCTGCTCACCCCTCACTGCCCCCCATGCCAGCCTGGTTGCCCCCAACTGTTCCCCCTCCAGCCTGATCACCCTTCACTGCCCCCCATGCCAGCCTGATCACCCCTCACTGCCCCCTTGCCAGCCTGATTGCCCAGCCCCGTGCTGGCTTGGTCGCCCCACACAGCCTGCTGCTCAGTTGTTTGGTCACCCCTCACTAACCCCTCTGCCAGCCTAGTCACCCCACACAGCCTGTTCCGTGGTCCGTTCAGTTGCGATGGTTGCTTAGACTTTTATATATATAGAGAGATGCGAATTAGACTTGACAGCCGAACGACCTTCTGGACATCCTTCCAGATGACCTTCAGGACGAAGCTGGGGCTGTGAGGGCCAAGCCCCTTGCATGAATTTCTTGCATCAGGCCACTAGTAATATATAAATTTAGATATAATATGTAATATACAAATTAGATATGACTGTTTTTGAACTCAATAGAATCATAGGTACTCTTGTGTCTGGCCTAATTCACTTAGCATGTTTTTGAGCTTCATCCTTGTCAATAGTTGGTTCCCTTTTTATCCTGAACAGTATGATAATCTACTCTTTAGTAGAATTCTCTCTTCCAATGAAGTTATAAAGATAAAAGCAGATAGAAGCAGAATTGCATTGACTAAAGGGTGATGGGGCCAGGGCTGTGTACTTGCTCAGCCTCCCTGTCCTGCCCAGTGGTTCCTCAGAGCACAATTTGGAATCTATGAATATAAATTAAGCCACTCATTTTATGCACAATAAACCTGTCATACGAGAAGGTGAAGTAACTGGTCTAAAGTATGTAAATTATTTTTAGCCAATATAGCCCAGAAGTTGATCTTCTGTCCTATATACTGTACAGTACCATTTTTTAAGGTTTTTTTTTTTTCCAGTTTTCAAAACATTTTAAAATAATTTCTGACTTCAAGGAAGTTGCAAAATTACTGAAATAATCCTCTTATACTCTTTGTCCAGCTTTGCCAACTGTTAACACCTTAGATAATCCATAACATAGTTATCAAGATTAGTAAATTGATATCAGCTGACACATTATTAACTAGTCTGACACTTTTTTGTGGTTAGCTTCAGGTTCACACTTGCACTTAGCTGTCATTTTTCCTTAGTTATCCTTAACCAGGGATAGTTCCTGTTTTTTGTCAACATTTTTAAATAATACTGGCCAGTTAGTTTGTAGAATGTCCCTCGATACGAGTTTGTTTAAAGTTTGCTTATTATTGGATTCAGATTACACATTTTTGGCACAAATACCACAAAAATGATGTTGTAACTTGCTCAGTGCATTGTCTCATTTCTGATAGTTAACTATGATAACTTAATCAAAATGCTGTTTTGGAGTCTCAAGACCCTTCAACTTTGCTCTGTGAAAATTTATTTGCAAAGTACATTGTGGTGCTTGCCAGAGACTAAGGAAAGGGGGGAGGAATAGGTAGATGTTATTAAATGGTAAAAACTTGTAACTACAGATGAATAAGTTCTGGAGAGCTAATATACAGTATGGTAATTATAGTTAATCATTTTCTACTATATACTTCAAAGTTGCTAAGACTCAAGATCACAAATGCTATCACCACAAAAAAAGAAATGATAACTGTGTGATATGATAAGGGTGTTAACTAACATTATTTTAGTAATCAGTTGCAATATATAAATGTATCAAATCAACACACACACACACCTTAAACATACACAAAAAAGAAAAGGCAAGGTTACCTATGATCACCAAGTCTTGAAAATAGGCTGTTAGTTACAGAAGGAAACTTAATTTGCCTTAGCCTTAGAAGTGGTTTCCATAAAACACACACACACACACACACACACACACACACACACACACCACTAGTTAGTGGCTTCAATACCCTCTATAAAGTCCTCCCTATATTGTGTACATTAGACCACTTCCGTCATGTGTTTCCATTGTGGTACACCTCATAGAACCCATTGTTGAGACATATGTGATATGTATATTTGTATATTTGTGTGTTCCTTCTACTGGACCATAAAGCCTATGATCCCCTGCCATAAGGGGAAAAAAAAACATTCTGCTACTAAAATATGTATTTTGTTTTGAATTAAAGTCCATTCCTATTATTTATTCTCCTACTCAGATTGTCATAGATTTGGCCTCTGTCTTCTTTCAACATATCCCCATCATTTTTAAGTTTTTATTTTGTTGTGATAAGAACACTTAACCGAAGCTGTACCCACATAACAGCTTTAGAACTGTGCGATACAGTATTGTTAAACTATAAGTACAACATTGTACAGCAGATCTCTATAACTTACTCGTCTTTCATAATTAAAACTTTATACCCATTGAGTAGCAATTCCCCATTCCTCCTTATCCCCATCCCCAACCTTTTTGAAGACTTCTTTATTTTTTAGTACCATTTGATTTTCTAAGCTCTTCTTGTATTTTTACTGCTCCAGTCCTAGATTCAGACATTTCTTCAAGAAAAACTGGTTTATTTGCAAATTGTATTTAGAAATCATCCGTTTATATGGATAACTTTGATGCCAGCCAACACTACAAAGTTTATTCTAACCTATCCCTTTTCCTTATTTATAACTCCCTTTTCCAGTGATGAAAAACCTAGTTCTCATTCTCAATATGTTTACCTATTTACTCAATCCTAGAATACACTTACAGTAGTTTCAGAATTGTTAACTTATACTCCTGGGAGAAACAAATTAACTTGAGTAATATATTTGTGTGCCCGCAACCAATGTACATGCCCTTGACTGGAATCGAACCTGGGACCTTTCAGTCCACAGACCGACGCTCTACCACTGAGCCAAACCGGTTTCGGCATTGGTGCACTCCTTTTTCTTTGACCTTGGAGTGTACCAATATAGTCAAAATACTGTTTCCAAAGTTTGTTTTTGTGTCCTCCCCCCTTTTCAACCATTTCAATGTGGTTATTTAATTATAATATATTTAGGTTAAATTTTTGTATGCATTCCAATTGGGTCCTTCTTCTCTAATCTTGACTGATTTTGATTAATTTTTGGTTATGTGAAACTAACATGGCTCTCCTCAAGTTGAGGTTCTCTGATGATGTTGCATAGTGAATTGATGCTCTAAATGAAAAGAAAATTATACAAGTGACTTTTCTCAAATACCTCTTTTACGTATACATAGCTCCTTTTCTAAAATAAGATATTTGAAGTCATCTGTAAATGCATACCAATAGAAAGAACCAGTAACATTGTTATGTGACCTGTACTTTTGTCCATACAAATTCATATGTGTATATATGGTTTTCATACACTATATATAATGTTTTCTCCATTTTATTGAGTTATAATTCAAATAACACAATTCACTGTAGTATATAATACAGTGGGTTTTAATATATTCGCTATGAACTACAACCATCACCACTATCTAAACCAGAATGTTTCCATCACCCCAATAAGAAACCTCAAACCTATTAGCAGTCAGCCCCAAAACATACTGTTTTGCACTTTGCCCTTTTTTATTTAATATATTATGAGAATTGCCGAGGCAGGTTTGGCTCAGTGGTAGAGCGTTGGTCTGCGGAAAGGTCCCAGGTTCAATTCCGGTCGGGGGCATGTACGTTGGTTGTGGGCACATCCCCGGTGGGGGGTGTACAGGAGGCAGCTGGTTGATGTTTCTCTCTCATCGACATTTCTGGCTCTCTGTCTCTCTCCCTTCCTCTCTGTAAAATATCAATAAAATATATTTAAAAATATATATATATATATATTATGAGAATTTTTCACCAAGTTAGATATTCACCTAAAACACAATAATTTTGCAAAATACCCCCTATCATTGGATACTGAAGTAGTTTCCCCAACAACACATTGATTTTTCTTTTAGCATCAATCAGAGTACGTATTAAACTGATCCCGCATACTCATTTTTTATTTCTATAACAGAAATTTACTAAAGATCTTAGATTCCAGTTTATAGGTATATTATCAAGTTAATGTACTGGTTCTAAATGATTCAAGCAGCTAGAGTCTTTGATACCCTGTTATTTCACCGGAGGGAAAGCTTAGAAACTGCTTTTGTGTGTCAGTTTTCTTATAATCAAGCCCAGGTCCTATTCACTTTGTATTTTCAAAATAATATAATCGTCACATCAGGTTTACAGATTTGCCAAGGCCCTGTATGAGCTGGTATCCAGGCCAAATCTTGATGATGATTAATAATGATAATTAACCCAGTATGTGTAACGTACTTTGCTGTTTGGCCAAAAAGAAAAATAAAAACAAACAAACAAACAAACAAATTTAAAAAACACTTTATTTTTTTATTTAATCCTCACAAATCTCCTATGAGGAAATTAGTATTATTTCCATTTAAAATATATGAAAAGTAGGGCTCAAAGAATTTACATAACTTGCTTTTGGAGCCAGCTAGGAGGTGATAGAACAAGATTTCCACAATAGCTTTACTGACTCTAATTCCAGGATTCTTGTACATCATAATTTGGATTTATCCAGCCTTGGACCCAGTAACTTAACAGCCCCACATGGAGATGGGTTGTTATTTTCTCTTACCTCTCCCTAGTAGGAGAGCTCATGAAGATTTGCCTTAGAGATCTGCCTATCAGTCTAATCCCTAATTCCAGAGGCTTGGTTTGACTACCATTGTGGCCTGCAATTCATTCAACTGCCACCAGATGGAAGGAATACTCTGTTAAGGAAAACAAAACAAGCATTAGAATGGCTAATGTTTACCAGTGATCTGTAATTAATGGTTCCCAGTGAGGGGATAATTTGTGTAGGTGGTACCCTCTGCATTCATAGGATCTTTATGTCCATTATCTCTTAGTTACTTAGCAGTATTCCTTTTTCCAAAAATTTAAATTTATCTTTATTGTTAAAAGGATTATAGATGTCCCATTTCACCACCACCACCCCCAATTGTCCCTCTCCACCCTGCACCTGCACCCACCCCAGGCCTACCACTCTATTGTCTGTGTCCATGGATTAGCATATATGCATATACGCTTTTGGTTAATCTTTTCATCAGTCTATTCCATGCTTCCATGTCTCCAGATCTATTTTGTCACTTTATTTTGTTCATCTCAAGATGATTTCTAATACTTTGGCCCTCTTTGACTAAGCTAAGAAACCCTCCTGCATCTTCAGTTTGCTGTTGCCTCACCCCTGGAGTGACCAATCAATCTTCTTATTTCTGTTTTTCCATTCAATCTACCTTGCCTAATTCAGCCAGATTAATGTTTAAAAATACCACTTTTCAACTGTACTCCAGAAACTCATCTCCATTGTCTAAGGATTAGCCTGGCTTTTAAGGCACCCCACAGTCTCACCCTGTTTTACCTGTTATCTGTTTAAAATACTGAAGGCCTTCTTTTGGTTCCTGCTATCAACATATCCTATTCATCCTTAGCACCTAGTTCAGATGCTAATTCTTTATTTATTCAATCAACAAATGTTTGAATGTGTTACTCTCTGCCAAGCACTGTTTTAGGCCCTGAGAATTTAAAATGGAATAAAACAGACAAAGTCCCTGTTCTCATGGAAATTACATCATAGTAGGAAAGTCACACCTCCTCTTCCCACAAACTGTCCCATAATCCCCATCAATCACTGCCTCCTCAGACCTCACAATTTAGAGGGGAAAGAGGGGATAAATGGTGAGGAAAGGAGACTTGACTAGAAGTGGTGAACACAAAATACAGTGTACATTTATTTCATGTATTATAGAATTGTGAACCTGAAATCTATATAATTGTATTAACCAATAGCACATCATCAATTTCAATAAAAAATAAAATATGACTCTAGAAACACTATGTACATTTTGCATTCTTCTAGAATTGATACATACAATTGAGTATTGCCCTTTGGAGCTATGGCCCTTACTCTGATGCTGTAGGAGTTATTCAAAACATGTATAGCACTTTTCTTTAGGAACATCCTCCAGAGCCTATAGTATATTCACCTTCAGTTGTAGCAGATGCTTATCCTTTGAGTATGCATTGGCTTTTTAAAAACAGCCTCAGGTCTCCCAGTCTAGAAAATTACCTACGTGAGAATGTGTGACAGAAGGAAGTACCGTAGACTGGTTTTTTGTTTTTTTTTGACATTTCTCAAAAATGGGCTCTTGAAGGTGCTGCCCAAAGAGAAATCCAGAGACAACATGAGATGACAAGCAGCACTCAGATAATGTCACAGCCTGTCTTATTTAAATTCTCTGCTTAAATTTTTTAAATCTGTATTTCATATTCTCCCAATTAAATTACAAGTCTCTTAGGAATAAAAAGTTGCATTTGGATTTTTTTTTTGTGTGTGTGTGTGTGTGTGTGTGTGTGTGTGTGTGTGTGTATGTCACCCACTGTGCCATCTTTTCATAAAGTAAATGATCAATATTAATATATTGATTATTTGATGAGGCAGTGGTAAAGGCAGTAAAGCATTAGCTGATACAGTTAGTGTCAACATATACTGTAATAATTTCCTGGCTCTTATTGGCATTGATTTAAAATATAGGATGGGCATGTAATGCCCAAGTGTCGTAAACCCCAAAGACTACCAGGGAGCCAAATCCAATGCAATTGCAGAAAGCCTGTATTTATTTCAGACTAGTCCGAGCTCAGTCCCACTTACACCAGCAAGGGCATGGTGAGAAAGAGGAAGAACTTAACATATCAATGGGTTTTATAGGGAGGGTGGTGCCGCTACCTTGGCTGACATGATTGGTTGGGTTAGGGCTAGGGTCCAGTTACCGGGAGCTGGACCTACCCCACCCTGCCCTCTCACCCTGCCCTGCCCTCTCAGGCAAAAGTAGGTTTATAGTTGTGAGTACATCAAACAGTTAATAAAGCTATTGTAATTTTCATCATCTTGATGTCTTTTCCCATATGAACAACTGTAAACTTTTTGTCCTGCCCTGCATATACTTACAGCTTTGTCATTCTATAATACTTTATAATGACTTTGCAAATCTAATTGGCATTTAAAATGCAGTAATATTAGGTACTTGTATTATGTGATTTAATTTCTTCACACAGAAGAAGACTAGCAACAGGTTTTCATAAAGTGAGATATCTTCTGCCTTGGTAGGGCAAAAGTTGTTATTAATATGAATTAGTCATTTGTTTTGGGATTATTCACTTACAACTCTAGAATACAAACTTAGTGCCTTCTGATGTTAGGAGGGCTTAGGACTGACTGTAGACTATTTGTAAGTTTACTGTTTTAGTTTAGTTTAGAAATTTGATTAAGGGAAAACATTAACCCTTTTCTCCATTTTTCCCCCCAGAACCTTTGTTTCATTTTGCCACAATTTTTGTACCAGTTCTTCTGTGGATTCTCACAACAGGTTTGTTTCCCTACTTAATTGTTGTAATGTACTTTACATTTGCTATTAATAATTTACTTTTTTATGTATTGGATTGTAGATATTGGAGAGGTATGTCCGAAGTAAAAGGAGGGTTGTTGATTTTTATTCAACTGTTAATCTTGGCTTGCATTTAAAAAAAATATTTAATTGATTTTTCACAGAGTGGAAGAGAGAGGGATAAAGAGTTAAAAACATCGATGAGAGAGAAACATCAATCAGCTGCCTCCTGCACACCCCACACTGGGAATGTGCCTGCAACCAAGCTACATGCCATGCCTTGACCAGAATCGATCCTGGGACCTTTCAGTCCACAGGCCGAGGCTCTATCCACTGAGCAAAACCGGTTTCGGCTTGGCTTGCATTTTGAGAATAGCAAATGTTTGTGTTTTTGCTTCAACAGTGTTCTTATTGCTTTATTTTGAATGTTCTTTAGTATATCTGAATAGAATTGAGATAACCTTTTAAAGAGTATTTTGTTTTTTTCCTTTGTATCAGTATATACAATGTTTTTCAATAATCCTAAAATGTTATAGTTTAATATTTCATCAAATAATATCTCAGACCTTTGCAGTTTCTCAGATAAAGCTGTGATTCCTGGGTAAAACTTTGGATTACTTGAATAACTCTACATTTTTTACCCTCTATTGTCTTCTGAACATTTATTGCATAAAGAATATGGTATATGTTAACATGATATTTAAGTGGCAAGATAAGCAGGCATATTTGTCAGTTTGTTTCAACAACTGAAATGGAGTTTGCATTGTTTCTAGTGGAAGTACAGCTAAATATAGGAGCTATAATGCTCAATGACTCAGAAATGTTCATAGGTAATGTGTGAGCAGTTCAGTGATTTTTGCCAAGCTGAACTACTGGTAAAATCACCACAGCTTTTACAGATTGAGTTTCTAAATGTCAAGGTATATTTAATTACTCATGGTAGGAAGTGATTTTTTTTTCTCATTTCTTGGCAGTATTTTTAAGTGAATGTATTCTCTCAAAGGAAAATGACTGCTCTCTTTGTCTTGAACTTACCTTTTTACCATTTGGTGTGCTGTTTCTTACTACTTACATCAGCACTGCCACGTCATCAGCCACATAAGGCCAGTTTAGCAGATTGCTTTATGAATTAATCATCTAACTGTAGGAAGTGCTATCAATTTTCTTGTATTCAAAACTTATCATTTTAGCTACAGAGAGTTTTATGGATTCTGATGAGTCTGCTTTTCTTGAACACTGAAATAACTGTTGATCCAAATGTTTCTAATTCCTCACTCAGATGAATGCAAGTATTAAAAAGACATTTCAAATATTGTTGCAAAATACTAAAGGGAAATGAGTTTAATCTGATTAAAACATTGTTTTTTATTTTGAAAGGAGCCTGTTGTTTTGTTATCTTTTTAAAAAATGTTTACGAAGCACAAATTTTATGAAGAAAGGAAGGACTTAACCCCTAATAAAGTCAGCTGAAATTCAGACCCTGGGCTGTCTGGGGTCTGTTTAGGTTACCTTAACTGCTTAGATTTTCATAAGAGTTGGTGTTTGGCTTCCTTAGTTGCTCAATTACCCTGTTTCCTCGAAAATAAGACAGTGTCTTATATTAATTTTTTCTCCCAAAGTTGCGCTATGTCTTATTTTCAGGGGATGTCTTATCTTTCCATGAGTTAGGTCTTATTTTCGGAGGATGTCTTATTTTCGGGAAAACACGGTAGTATTCATTTAACAAATATATCTTGGGTTCCTGCATAGTATGTGCCAGACAAGTGCTGGGCATATAACAGTGATCAAAAATCTTACTCCATAATGCTGGGGGAAAAACAGACAACATTCAGATAAACATATTGTCAGTTGCTGATAAATGCTCTGAAGGGGGTTAAAAAGGATAAAAAAAATGATAGAGTGATTGGGGATGAAGGCCACTATTTTAGAGAAGATGATTTTGAAAGTTCTCTCTGATGATGTGACTTTTAGGTAGAAATATGAAGGAGATAGGGAAGGAGCTATATGGATGTCTTAGAGGAAAAATGTATCAAGTAAAAGGAAGGTTTCTGAGGTGGTGACCTGATATATAATATCTTTAGTTTTGAATTTGGCCTAGTGCTCTATGCTGAAGGTAGTAACCTTTGTTGTAAATATCTTTGGAGCCTTTTTCAATTTAGGTCCACATCAGGTGTTCTCTGCATGCCTGGAATTTGGAGGTTGAACTATGAAGTAGAAGTGGGACCAGGATTCCGATTCTTTAAGCAAAAAGCAGGTCTTTCTTTAGCAAAGCTAGAGTAGTACTGGTCATGAAAATAAAATATTTAACATTAAATAACTAGGGAACAAGAGGAAACCCAGAACTTCTAAATCCAATTCCAAGATTCAAGGTTTACACTGAGTAAAATTTTCAAAGCCCAAGTCCCTTCCTAAGATAATGCTTTTTATGTCTTCTTTCTAAAACCTGGTTCTCACTAGAGATTTATGTATTAAAGGGGATAAGACTTTTTTTCTGCAAAATACATCAAACATGAGAGTAAAGCAGAAAAGTGTTAATAAATATATGCACTACTCTTTTTTAAAATAAAGAAATTATTTACAACAGGTTTAACAAATAATATTATCAAGTAAAGCTGTTGTTTGTTTTGAGGATATTCTATCTTCTCTAATTATGCATCTAAGAAATATAATTCTCTTTCATGTAACCTCAAACTGCCATAGTGGAACAAAAGTAGATTTTATTTTCATTTATCTCTATTGTTGAAAGTATTACAGATGACCCTCCCCCCCCCCATTATCCCCCTCCATACCAGGCCTACCACACTATTGCTTGTGTCCTTGGGTTATGCATATGTGTATAAATTCTTTGGTTAATCTCTTTCCACCCCACCCTCCCTCCTGATGCTTCTTTTGTTTAAATCTTTGTATATGGGAAGTATCTCCATGTTCATTGAGAATTTTGCATGTATATTATCTTGCTTTTGTTTCTACTGTTGGTCAGAGTTGTCCCTTCCTCTGGGCTCCCCCAGCTCTTTGTACTCTCACCACCCTGCCTCCCCCTCTGCAATTTGAGTGCCTAGGCTGACAGAGTTCTAATCTTCTTTGTTCCCAGTACTTGTCACTTACTAAACACTCAGTTAATGTTTTTGAAGTCAACTAATGAATGAACCAATGCTCTATTCATGTTGTTCTCAACCTTTTTGAGGCAATTCCCATTATAATAGTAGGTGTATCTTTAGTAACTGTTGTTTGAAAATGCATAATTGTATTAATGTATGTCACATTTAAATGAATTTTATTAATTAAAATAACATTTATATGTGTGAAAATACAGATAAATATGGGATATTATTCATTCAGGCCACAGGTAATGGTTGTATGAAAACATCTAGCACTGTGTAGAAAAATACTGAACTCTGCCGAAATTGATTTGCTCAATGGATAGAGGGTCAGCCTATGGACTCAAGGGTCCAGGTTCCATGCCCCAGGTCAAGGGCATGTACCTTAGTTGCTGGCACATCCCCGGTAGGGGGTGTGCAGGAGGCAGCTGATTGATGTTTCTCTCTCATCGATGTTTCTAACTCTCCATTCCGCTCCCTTCCTCTCTGTAAAAATCAATAAAATATATTTTTTAAAAAAAGAAAAATACTGAACTCAATAAGTATATTCATTAAAATAAGGTTCAGATACCTTAATTTTCCATAAAGGAAAATTTACAATATTGATCAGTCTTCTACAAATGTGCTATAGCTTCCAATATCTATTCAATCATTCATCCAATATTTATTGAATGCTTTTTATATGCCAAGTTCTGTCCTAAGAGCTTAAGGTCGTCAAAGCCCCCTAGCCAAACACCACCAGGAACACATTTGTAGTTGATCAAATTTTGTTTATTACCGGATGCAATGAGAAAGAAATATACACCATGAGGAACAGTGGAGCCTCTCAGGAAGCGAGTGTTAGAAAAGTCTTATAAGATTTGGATTGAGTTAGGTAATTTGGAAAGCATTTAAGAAGATTGGGTGCTGTTAGAAGCAGTGGTAATTTTATGACTGGGCATTTTAGTAAATCATACCCAGAAGGAAAGAAGACTAGAAGGATGCTAACCCTGTTATCGGTCAAGGAGCAACAGTTACTCATATTAGCCAGAATGGGGTGTTGGTCATTATTTATGATTTGAAAAATATTCATGCTCTGTCTGTGTTCAGATGTGATTGTGGAGTGGTCTTGTTTTTGTTTTGATCCATCATAGTCACAGAATGGCCTTTGCTTGATGTTGCATTTCTGCATGTTTGGCAGGAGAACACTTATGCCTAGCTATAAGTGACAGGCCAACTCTATGATGTTAGGTGCTGCTTTACTCTTTTTCAAGCTACAGCTATCTAATGTGAATTGAAACAAATAAAGTTTGGATAGAAATAACTTATACCAGTCAAAATAGGCTTTAAAACAAAGGCTATAACAAGAGACAAAGAAAGACCAAGCAACTGCACTTCTGGGTATTTATCTGAAGAAACCTAAAACACTAAATCAAAAAGACATATACAATAAATAAAAAAAGAAAAGAAAAAAGACATATACATCCACATGTTCACTGTAGCATTATTTGCAAGAGCCAAGATATAGAAGCAACAGTAACACATGCACACACACACACACACACACACACACACACACAATGGAATATAATTTATCCATAAAAAAAGCATGAAGTCAGAGAACCAAGATGGCGGCATAGGTAAGCACCTGTACTTGCTACCTCTCACAACCACATCAAAACCACAACTAAATGGCAGAGCAACTATCACCCAGAACTGCGGGAAGGCCGGGTGAGTGGAAGTTCCACAACTAGAGATGTGAAGAAGGAGCATTGAGATTGTAGCAGGTGTGTAGGCGTGGAAAGGACTGGCACCTGGATGTGCTGCTCTTTTAATTGGGAGGGAGATACAGGCTCCCACTTGCTCTAAACTCCAACTCCAGGTGAGACTCTGGGGGATTCAGGCATATACGGGGAGAAACTGGACTGTCTGGCATCGGGACAGGAATGTGAAGGCGGCTTTCTCTTAGAGGGGCTCTCAGCCATCATTGTTTCTGCATGGGGCACAGGACGAAGAGAACTGGGGACTTCCCCCATTCAGGGCTGACTGCCAGCCATTGCTGTTTGCTCCACCCTGGTGATTTCCTGAGATTCCATACCACCCAATTTACAACCCCACCCAAGCTGTGTGCATCGGCTTTTGCATGTGAATGGCCTGTCCTTTTACCTAAAACCTGTCAAACTTCAGCTGGGTCAAAGAGCCCCAGAGCTTCCAAGAGAATAACCATGGCCCTGCCAGCCTTGCTTCACAGCTGGGCCTCATCTGGACACTTCCAAGCCCCATACAAAGAGGAGGAATCTGCAAATGTCTCTGTAGCTCCTGCTGGGCAGCCCAGACAGTGTCTGACCATGCACCTCCTTGGAGATCCAAGAACCAGTGTACCAGTGGTCAGAGTGAGACCATACCGGATTACAACTCTTCACATCCATAAGAGACACACACAAGGGGCAGACTCAGTGAGCACCAAAGCCCCATTGAAGCAAGTCCTGCCCCATAAGGGTGTTTCTTGTGCAACAGATCTTCCAGTGTAGACACAGCTGGTGATCACAGCCAATTGGCCTGGAGGTCAATTCCTCCCAGTGATATCAACAGCAATCAAGGCTTAATTGTAACAAGACTGTGCACACAGCCCACAAAGGGGTGCACCAAAAGCGTCCACCTCAGGTGGCTGGGAAGGCTGAGCCACTGGGCCCTATAGGACATCAACCACACAAGGCCATTCTATCAACTCAGGGAGACTTAGCAGCTACCCAATACATAGAAATAAACACAGGGAAGCAGCCAAAATGCAGAGACAAAAAAACAGGTCACTAATGAGAGAAATGGAGGAAAGTTCAAAACCATGATTATAAGGTTATTCAAAAATCTTCTAGAAACCTCTGAGAAATTTAATGAGACCCTCAAGGATATGAAAAAGGACCAATAAGAAATTAAGCATACACTGACTAAAATAAAGAATAATATACAGAGATCCAACAGCATACTAGAGGATCCCAAGAATTAAGTCAAAGATTTGAAACATGAAGAAGCAGAAAAAGAAAAAGAAAAGAAAGAAAAGAAGGAAGGGAAAGAGAGAGAGAGAGAGAGAGAGAGAGAGAGAAAAGAGAATCCAAAAATATGAAGATAGTGTAAGGAGCCTGTGGAACAACCTCAAGCATACCAACATCTGAATTATGAATTATGGGGGTGCCAGAAGAAGAGAGAGAGAATAAGATATTAAAAACCTATTTGAAGAAATAATGACAGAAAACTTCCCCTACCTGGTAAAAGAAATAGATTTACAAGTACAGGAAGCACAGAGAACCCCAAACAAGAGGAATCCAAAGAGCACCATACTAAGACACATCATAATTAAAATGCCAAGGGCAAAAGACAAAGAGAATCTTGAAAACAGCAAGAGAAACACAATTAGTTACCTACAAGGGAGTATCCATATGACTGTCAGCTGATTTCTCAACAGAAACTATGTAGGCCAGAAGGGAGTGGCAAGAAATATTCAAAGTGATGAATAGCAAGAACCTACAACCAAGATTACCCAGCAAAACTATCATTTAGTATTGAAGGTGAGACAAAGAGCTTCACAGACAAGAAAAAGCTAAAGGAATTCATTACCAGCAAACCAATATTATATATAATGCCGAAGCATATTCTTTTAGAAGAGGAAGAAAAAGAAAAAGGTAAAGATTAAAATTATGAACAACAAAGTGACAACAAATACATATCAATAAGTGAATCTAAAAATCAAGTGAATAAAAAATCTGATGAACAGAATAAACTGGTGCATATAATAGAATCTGGGGCATAGAAAGGGAGTGGACTGACAATTATCTGGGGGAAGTGGGTGTGGGAGCTACAGGAAGAGATTGGACAAAAATCTTACACCTGTGGAGGAAGGTAAGGACTTGGAGTGATGTGGGAACCCGGTGGAAGGGAGCTTTGGGGGGGAAAAGAGGAACAATTGTAATAATCGGAACAATAAATATTTATTTAAAAATAAGCATGGCCCTAACCTGTTTGGCTCAGTGGATAGGACGTCGGCCTGTGGACTGAATGGTCCCAGGTTTGATTCTGGTTAAGGGCATGTACCTTGGTTGTGGACACATCCCCAATAGAGGGTATGCTGGAGGCAGCTGATTGATATTTCTCTCTCATCGATGTTTCTAACTATCCCTCCTCTCCCTTCCTCTCTTTAAAAAATCAATAAAATATATATTTTTAAAAAGCATGAATTCTTACTACCGACAACATGAGTAGACCCAGAGGGTATTATGCTCAGTGAAATAAGTCAGAGAAAGACAAATGCCAGATGATTTCACTTATATGTGGCATCTAAAAAACAAAATAAACAAGCAGAATAGAAACAAATTTATAAATACAGAGAACATATGACAGTTGCTAGATTTTGGGTGTGTTGGGACAGATTGGCTGAAGGGATTAAGAAGCACAAATTGGTGGTTAAAGAATAGTCATGGGAGGTAAAGTACAGTTTAGGGAATATAGTCAATAATATTGTAATTATGAATGGTGCCATGTGGGTACTTAATTTATCAGGGGGATCACTTCATAAGTTATATAAATATCTAATCACAGAATTATACACCTGAAACTAATATAATATTGTCAGCTGTAATTTAACATATTTAAAACATTTTTTTTCATTTCTTTGGTATTATAAAAAGTGAAAAAACTGTCGTTTTAGCTTCTGATTTTTTCCAATAAAACCTCTTGAAGATGATTGTTCAGTATATTTTTTTCTCTTCTATTGTTTGTCATTTCAGCCACTGTATGATGCTGCTTACCTTACAATGTACAATATCTGCTTCACATCCTTGCCCATCCTGGCCTACAGTCTACTGGAACAGCACATCAACATTGACACTCTGACCTCAGATCCACGATTGTATATGTAAGTTAACATTACTGTTAAAATTTCCTCAGACTTACAAAGTTGTGGGTTTCACTTTGTATGAAGGAGGGACACAGACTTCCCACCTGGTTTGATCACATGTTTCTCTGGCATTCAACAGGAAAATTGTATATATCCTAGGGGTATGCCCTGTACTTGAATGTGTTTGAGCCATTTAAAAATCATTAATTCCTAAAATTTGCATTTACATTGTGATAAGAGTTCTGGAGTCTTAGAGGACACGATATTTTAACTACAAAAGAAGTGTGTCACACAAAGATCTTCATTAGTTTAGAACATTGATTTCTACCTATAATACATTGAACTGATGATATTGTTAGGACTTAATCTTGTAAACTGCCCCTGAGGCATAGCTTCTCTCTTCCTTTGTTAGGCCCATTTGAAAACTGTTTTGTTGAAGGAATTCATTCATCTAGCCATTATATCCATTTTGGGTCAGTTGGAAATGCATGTGTTTCTATATGGATGGGGACTTAGCACTAGCCCCAGTTGCTTAACCTTTGACTTAATTGGATTTTTATAAGTGAAGCCTTAAAACTGAGGATAAATAAAGATGTTAATTTATAGCAGATTATGAGCATTGCTAAATAGTGGATGTCAAGTGCAGTACATAGACTTGTGTGGCTTATTTGTATGAAGTGAAGGTATACAAATTAAGGGATTTCTTTAACCAGTATGACTCATAAAACTCACCTTTAGTAATTATTAGACTTATCCAGATTTATAAAATATATCATCATAATTTTAAAGTTATTTCTTATGGGAATTTTCAAACATGCACAGAAGTAGCAAAAATACCATTAATACGGTATTAAACTATTAAAACTTCCTTGTCCTTACCACTCAGCTTCACGAATTATCAATACAAGAACCAGTTCTCTTTCACTAATAACCATCTCTGCTCCATTAGAGACTTACCGTGTTTCCCCCAAAATAAGACATCCTCCGAAAATAAGACCTAGCGCATGGAAAGATAAGACATCCACTGAAAATAAGACCTAGCACAACTTTGGGAGAAAAAAAAATATTTAAAAAAATATAAGACACTGTCTTATTTTCGGGGAAACGGTATTTTGGAGCAAATATCAAGCATTGTCTAAAACAGTTATTTCAGTATCTTTGTCTTAATGATAAAAACTTAAAAAATAACAGTACCTATCATACCTTAAAATTTTACAAGTCCATAATATCACATATTCCAATGGCCAGCAAACCTCGGCTCATGAGCCACATGTGGTTCTTTGGCCCCTTGAGTGTGGCTCTTCCACAAAATACCGCATGTGGGCGTATACATACACTGCGATTGAAACTTCATGGCCCATGTGCTGAAGTCGGTTTTCGGCCTGGGCGACTCTATTTTGAAAAAGTGGTTCTAACACGGAGCCACACTGAAGGGGCCAAAGAGCCACATGTGGCTTTCGAGCCACCGTTAGCTGACCATTTCATATTCTATCAATGTTCAGATTTTTTTCAAATGACTCATTTCTTTGAATTGCAGGCTTGTTTTAATCAGGATATAAGGTCCATATGTTGAAGAGGAACCAGGACCTAGAAATTACTTGCCTAACACGGGGTATAACTAGAGGCCAAACTAAGATTAGAATTCAGTCCTCCCAATAATCAGCCCTGTGCTCTTCCCAGCTGGATGATCATTCTCAAACACTGAGCCAACAGTGTATTCTGTCTTATGACAACAACGAAAGTGAAGCCCAATAGTGCCATTGCTCTGGTTGGAGTGGAGTTTGGGTGTCAGTAAGCAGAATCCCTCCCATGAAGCCCCAGCAAGTGCTCAAGCTAATTGTCTGAGTTCCAGTTCTGGCTTTGCCACTCACTAACTGTGACCTGCACAGGTTACTTAACTGAGATGAACCTCAATTTCATCTTCATTAAAATCTAGACAACAAGAGCACCTAGAAGTGGTTTTATGAGGATTAGATGAGTGACAACACATAAAAGGACTTAAAACAGTGCCTGGAACATAATAAGTGTTCATAGATTGTAGCTATTGATCTTACTCTAACACTCTCTTCCACTGAACTTCTAGGCTGTGCTGAGCACTTTCATACATTAAGAATGTTGAAAACTGTTGAGCACAAATTATTATAAGGGTTTTCCTGAGTTTTACTTACTGAACAGCAGGTGTAGGTAACGAACTATTAAACCATTTTGCATAGATAATACACTTGCCACATATGATGCAGAAATGAAAGCCATGACATACCTGTTGACCGGCCCAAAACTCAGTTTTCTTTTTGTGTGTTGGTGAGACACTGCTCTTGGCCTGTCATTGTAGATTACTCTACAGGGGAGGGACCTCCATAAAGATCCTTGCAGGAATCACCCAGCAACTTTCAGCTAATGAGGCTTTTGAGAGTCACTGTCATGGGCTGAGGCAGAAGGTAGTCCCTGTGTTTTCATACCTTTTCTGGAGTTACCTTAGGCAGGGACATCATGGTATGTTAGTAATATTCTGACTTGTACTAAGAAGACTGTATCATTTTTGACAGATTTTAAACTTTTGATCTGAGACATTCTATTTTTCAATTCATGACTGTACAGCTTCAAACATGTTATTCAGCTCAATTATAAAGGGCATCATCCCAAGACCAAAAAAGGCTAAGCTCCTAGGAAGAAATCTTGATTGAAAGAAACATTTTAACAATTGTACTCGGGAAGCAGAGATATCTTGGTTGAGAGCATATGATTTAAGACAAATAAATCTAGGATTGTATACTAGTTCTATCCCTTACTAAATGAGTGAACTATGATGTGCTGCTACACTGGTGGTTCCCAAACTTTATTGCATGGCAGAATCACCTGAGGAGCTTTAAAAATATCCTGATGCGCCGAAACCGGTTTGGCTCAGTGGATAGAGCCTCGGCCTGCGGGCTCAAGGGTCCAGGGTTCAATTCCGGTCAAGGGCATGTACCTTGGTTGCGGGCACATCCCTGTTGGGGGTGTGTAAGAGGCAGCTGATTGATGTTTCTCTCTCATCCATGTTTCTAACTCTCTATCCCTCTCTCTTCCTCTCTGAAAAAAACAAAACAAAAACTTCAATAAAATATATATATTTTTTAAAAATATCCTGATGCACAGTTTAGCCTTATGGCAATTAAATCAGACTGAGGTTGGGAGCTAGGCATAGATTCCCCAGGTGATTCCAATGTGCATCAAAGTTTGGTATATCTTTTGAGGCTCTTTATCATTTACAGGTAGGAATAATAAAAATATCTCATGTGGTTTTTATGTGGATAAAAATGGATATATATCATAATCTACTTTTCTGACATATAATAAGTACTCAATAAATGGGACTAATTATTATTGATTATATTATTGTTGTCAGGTGGCCAGAATTTAACATAGAAGTGCTCGGGCAGTTTACTTCATTACCTCCAATCAGGAGGTGATTGCATAAAAATAAACCCATGGTTCAGTCTGACCTTTTACTGAAAGCCTTTCAGTCCCTCGGAGCTAGCTCCTTTCATTATAACAGGGTCATACACAGACTATAGAGATTCATTAACCTGTATTTTTCCCCTATTTCTCAATAGGAAAATTTCTGGCAATGCCATGCTGCAATGGGGCCCCTTTTTATATTGGACATTTCTGGCTGCATTTGAAGGGACAGTATTCTTCTTTGGGACTTATTTTCTTTTTCAGAATGCATCCCTAGAAGAAAATGCAAAGGTAAAAAAAAGGCATTGTTTATTTGGTATTAGAAGTATGGCTTATCTTTTTTTCATGAGCACTGGATCAAACATATACATATTCTAACTGTAATAATTTTGCAAAATTTTTAAAGGTAGACTATTTCGTTCTCACAACTTCTTTAGAACAGAAGAAGTGTTCCTTATGCGCATGGCAAACTAGAGAGCTTATGTGCAAAAAGTTTGGAAGCTTAACTTAACTTGGCTGTAATTTTTATTGGATGAACAAAGTTCTTGGGACTTCAGAATTTGGGCCACTGATTTTGATTTGAGCAAGGCTTTTTCTGTTTTAAAAGGAAAGTCTGGACCCACTCAGTTCTTATTCATAGCGGCCTTCCATGCTTAGAGTTCAAGAGGGTAACTCACATATGGAATTCCCTTCTCTTCCCCCTTCCCTTCCACATGGTAGCATAGTATTTTCATGAAAGGCTACACTGATCCTGCCAGTGCCTTCCCAGCAAGCACTACATATTAATAGTTTAGCCTCTGCATTGGAATGATTTTGCCCTGTCAGCTGTGGAAGAGAATGGAATGAGGTCTTCCTACAGCCACACAGTGGAAAATCAAACCAACTTTTATGCTGCTTTCACTATGTTTGCTATTTCCTATGGTAATTCATTCTTTATCATCATCATGTGAAGCAAAGCTAAGGTTCAAAAAGAATTTACTGAGTACAATGACTGTGTCTAGAACCTAGAATCAGTATCTGTTAGGGAAGTGATAGGCTCAGTGGATTTGAATGATACTTTAAATTAGGTATTATAGTCAAAACCTCTCCAATTTGGATTGACATGTCAGTTTAATATGAATCTATTAAACTTATTAATCACCAATTAACTTTTGAGGAAATACAAATCTAGTTCTTTAGAGTAGGTTATGTAGCACTTACCAAAAAGTATACCCTACTTAATCTCTCTGTGTGTCCTTAGGCAAGTCACTTCAGCTTTCCAAGTCAACTTTGCCCATTGGTAAGAAGAAGGAATTCAGTTTTATGATTTCTCAAGTCTTTAGCTTTATGACTGATTGTGGGACTTTCACTTTTTATTTGGCACATAAATTATATAGAGCTGACTCTTGCTTTTTAAAAAGTTTGCTGCAAAGTAGGTGGATAGTTTCCTGCAGTTCTATTGACATGGTTCTTTTGCTCAGAAAATTCTTCAGGTGGTGATTGGGGAGCCTCAACACAGTCTGTATCCAATCCATCACCCATGTTCAGTTCATGATGTCCAGATTAATTAGATTTTACTGTATATGTCACCTTCCTAAACGTTTGCTAAAGTTACAGTAATTGTAATAACTGCTATCAGCAGTTAAACATAATGCCCATTTATGATTTGATCAAATTCTTTTTTTCCTCCTATGCTTCTATTAACCTTAGTTTTTTTGTTTTTATTTTTGAAAACCTTTTACATTTCATTTTCTGTTTTAATGTTATGCATTCAGACCTTGACATCATTTGGTAAGCATATGTGCCATTCATTGCCATCATTTGGATTTATACATGGTATCTGCTTTTCCTTGATGTGCACATGCTAACAGCTCTAATGTTTACAGCCCAAAATTAGACTGTTTTTAACTTGTGAGTCCATTTGTCTGCATATTAGTCCTTAGTTCAGAGCTTTTGTTTTATATTATAGAAAAAGCCCATATCAGTCTTTCTAGAGATATGAGTCATGCAATGACTTGTTTTTTATGAACATTGTTAGTGGAATAGGGTTTTTTCTGCCTTTATCATAGCAGTGTTTTTCCCTGTTTCATGCTGCTTGGAATAATGGAAATAAGTGCTACCAACCACAAATGTGGTCTAGCTGACCAAGAAAGTTTACAGTCACAATTAAATCTAGCATTTTGGCCTGATCCTTTAACTTGATATTCCCCAAACAACAATTCATACAATACTTTTTTGCAGTTATACACAAGGTTGTACTTGGCTTTTATTTTTTATGCAGGCTTGTGTATTCTTGGTTTAATTAATTATTAATTTTTTTTTCAGGTGTATGGAAACTGGACTTTTGGAACCATTGTTTTTACAATCTTAGTATTCACTGTAACTCTAAAGGTTAGATTTTTATTTATTCAAGTATGTTTAACATCACTTTTATAATACTTTCTGGTCTTGTACTAATATTCTTTTTTTGTCTTCTAATCTTTAATTTTATTATGGTTATCATCCAAGTCTGAATGCTTACTAAAGTATGTATGATATTAAAGATTAGGCATTTGTATACTATTTGTGATTGATTTTTTACTGTATGTTGTCTATCCTCTTTATTTTTTTTATTTGTTTTTAATTCATACACCATATTTATGTCGGAAATCTGTTCCTTCTTTACAGCTATTTTCAAGATGTTATAAGTGATATATAATAAAACTATCTGTGAGTGTGTTTTTCCATGTTAAGTACTTGAATATTTTTTAAAGTTTTATATTTGTTTAAGAAAGCCAGGCCATGAATGAATTTGAGTACTTAAGATAGTTCAGCAAGATCTGTATGTAAATTTTTTATAATGTATTTATCACTAAAATTTATATTAGTGATCAAATACATAAAATATATAGCAGATAACATACAAGAAGGGTAGTTTAGGCAAAATTATTGGCAGCCATTTAATAAGGGCTCTGAAACCTGAAGGCTCATGAATTGGGACTGTCTTATAGTTGAAAAAATAATCCAATTCTTTTGATGGTTCCAGTAATAAACATCTCACATGTGGTCCAAGAATGAGTGCCTTTAAATGAATTCCAGTGTACCCAATAGTCAGAACTAGAATTCAGAAGTGTAATAGACTTCTAATCATTTCCCCTCTAAAATTTAATTCCTGGTTAATTTCTTATACCAAAAAAAACCTAACATATGTTTGCATCTACTATTTCAATGATATTTTAGGACTGTCAAAAATGTTACAATTCATCTCAGTTTAGCTACTTAATAGCAGAGTATAACCTTGGACAAGTGATTTGGTTTCTCAGTACCTCTATTTCCTCTTTTATAAAATGGAGATAAAATTGCATCCATCTCTCTTAGGATATTTTTGTGAAAAGTCAATTAATGATACATAAAGCATTTGCAATGGACACTGGCACATAGAATGTGCTCAGTACAATAAATGTTAGTTGTTATTTATTACTATTATTTACAGGGTCATGATTTGAAATAAAAGCCTCCCCACCCTTTTTTCCACCTGGCCTTTTGTGTGAACCCAGGGCTTCCAAGTGCCCTTCATAGTTAAAGTTGGCCTTACTGCAACATCTTTCGTTAGTCCTTCAAAAGACATCCACTCCCTCTTCTTTTATTTATATATATATATATATATATATATATATATATATATATATATATTTTTTTTTTTTTTTTTTTTTTTTTTTTTTTTACAGAGAGGAAGGGAGAGGGATAGAGAGTTAGAAACATCAATGAGAGAGAATCATTGACCAGCTGCCTCCTGCCCATCCCCTACTGGGGATGTGCCCGCAACCAATGTACATGTCCCTGACTGGAATCAAACCTGGGACCCTTCAGTCCGCAGACCGACACTCTATCCACTGAGCCAAACCAGTTTCGGCATGGATGGATATTATTGTAACATTTTCTCTGACAGCCCAGAGGATGAGAATTCAAGACTGGGCTATATTCACAATGTTCCCAACATCCTGTTTATGAATGTGAAACTAACAGAGAGCTAAGGACCATGGTGTCACAACAAGTATCAAAACTGAGATACCACCTCCTCTTTAATAATTCAGTGCCCTAGATATTAATTCATGTGATCCAGAAATTATAAGCAAATGAAGTAGACTATACTTCTTTGTTTTTAGATTGCATTTGAAAACCCCTGTTCCACAGTCTCTAGAAACAATCAGTCTATAGAAACAAACAATGGCAGAAGCATGAAGGATTTTAATCTGAGGCAAATGAAAATGTTATTAATTAAATAGGTAGGGGTTTTGCAATTGAAAGGCACACTACATAGTCAGACCCATGATCCATTGCTACATGATGCAGGCATATGGAGCTAGTTTCCTCTGTATTTAGTAAACCCCCTTACCCCCATCTTGGTTGTGCTTCAGCTATCAAGACTCTTTGTGTAGTTTGTTTACCCTTCCTAGATACCCCTTCCTTCTCCTGTTTTCAGTATACCTGCCTCTACCAGCTAGCCTTCTCCTTTTGCCATAATCTCCCTGAGGACTTGGGGCTCCAGACTCCTAGATGTTTTCATTACCTCATTCTTTGCCCTTCTTTCACTAGTGAGACATCTGTAGCCCCATACGTGCTTGCTCTACCACATTGCTACACCTGTCCTCTGGAGTCTAGAGGACTTAGGACAGAGTTGAGCACTTTCATACCCTAGCTCTTTGAAAATCCTAGATTCTGTTCTCCTTTTAGTTCCATTCTCTCCTGGAAGCCTGGCCCAAGCTAGGTGCTCCCGTATGTATCATATTGTATAAAAGTTATCAGGTACCATAGTGTATTATAGCTTGGTACAGTCTGTACTCATCATGAAATCTTTTGTGTTGTATCTTTTCAGCTTGCCTTGGATACTCGTTTCTGGACATGGATAAATCATTTTGTGATTTGGGGTTCTTTAGCCTTTTATGTATTTTTCTCATTCTTCTGGGGAGGAATTATTTGGTAAGCAGCTGTATATATGTGAGTAATATGTAAATAGGAAAATAGGTATATGTATATATACATTGTATATGCTTTCACCCCCCAAAAAATGAAAAACAACACAATGAGATGGTGATTTTAAGATATAACCCTCTGAGTATTGAGTGGTATATATTCTATACCCTAAATACATCTGTAGTGACATGAATAATAGCTATACTAGTATACCATAAAGAGAGAATAGGGTCCAAATAGATAATAATGTAACTACTTTGTGTATAAACTTTACAGAATGAGTACTTCCACTAGAAATCACATGGGAGGTCATGCTAGAAATTAGTTTCACTTCACAGAAAGGTGCTTATACACTTTCAAGTTGAAAGATTTGGCCAGGGACTACCAGAAGGGAGATCTTTTGAGTAACTCATGAAGCATCCATACTTGCATTGGAAATCTCCCTGAAATAAGCAGTGTGACTGGCTAGTATTTAATATTGAGGGCATGCCATCTTATATAATCAAAACTTTTCAAAGTATAATTAATGTGGCTTCCCCTGATAATGATGTCAGCAGCAGAGAACATGGCTAGAGTAAGCCATAAAGATTCTAGGAGTATATATTTTCACTGGTTTGAGCAAAAGCATACATACAGAATATTCCATGTTATCACAGAGATGTAAGGACCATGTTTTTGTCCCTTGAGACTTAATTAGAATAAATTCTTACTGTTTTGAAAAGCTTTTCAAAATAAAGTCTTTAAGAAGTAAAAATATGAAACAACCCAGTCACTTAGGGAAGTACTGCTCCATGTAAATGTGTAATCACAGCATATATTTGGTCCCTATATAGGTAATTACTGAAGTGGTGAAACTGAAAGAAGTCTCTATTTAAAAACAAAACAAAACAAATGAATCAAAGTTGATTAACCAAATATGATATGCAACTATAATTCTTACAGTACCATAATTCTATCTGTGAATCTGTGTAATCAGCATCTAAACTAATTATGCAAAATTTCCATAAGAACAAAATGTCTCACAAACTACTTTCTAACTCTTATCCTTATTGATTTAAATAAATCCTTGATATGATTAAGACATCACCATGGTGTTTCAATTCACTAGAGGTACTTACTAAATATGAAATGTTAATATTTTATTTTCTTACCTATAATGTTGTCCTTAAGTAGAACTGTCTAAACTACTACATGAATATAAAATTAATACTATAAAGCAACCAGCAAACTGTCACTAGAAACCATGTGAAACTTCAGCTGAATGCTAGTTGCAGATAATATCTCTGGACATGTTCAACCTTAAGACATTGTAGTATACTCCTTTTGGGGCAAGTTGGCAGTAAGAATGATGATTTCTGAGCCCCTAACTTAATCCAGTAATACCTTCTGTTTTTTTTACTGCTCCCCTGCAAAGCTCCATAGATGCCGAGGTAAAAAAAGAAAAATCTAGAGATATTAATCACAGAGTATTGCAGGCACTATGCAGAGGAATGCTTTGTAGCTAGCTGTTAGTTGTCTGCTGGAACTTTATGGCTCAGTTAACTGTCTAAAAATTAGGATGCTTTTCAAAACTAGAGTGGGCGTAGAGCTCTGAAGAAGTTTTTTCTGTATACTAGGGACCCTAGAAAGCTTGTTAACCCAAGCCTTATAAATTTTTTACCTCACTGTTCTCATTTTTTTAATTTCTCAGTCTGTTCCTCTTATATAGAGCCACAAGCTTGATTTTATTGTGTTTCATAAAAGAGCATAAATTTCAATTTTTAAAGGAGAAACCAGTTTACTTTCAGTGAGCACTATGTGTGACCTAATAAATGGGACTAATCCAAGAATAGTCCGGTGTGAATCCCAACCTTGATTAGCCGTTCTGTGCTTTAGCTCAGGCAGTAGAATAAAACTTGGTTGTGCTTCTTAGTAGCTACTTAACAGTTCAGTGGATGACTTGGAATGAAATCCAACATCAGAATGAGGGGTCCTCCTGGATTTTTGGGCTCCAACGCTTATGTCCTTTTAGCAATATTCTGCTGTATTGTCAACCTATTTGACTCACAGTAGTATTCTGTATATATTTGTGGATGAGAATTATAGAGTCCTCCTATTTGAGAGAGAGAAGTTCTATAGTTCTTTTTGTATTTACATAGGAATTGGGGGGGGAATTATAAGAATGTATTTTAAAATTTGAACATAGATCACAAATCCACTCTCATATTAATAAAACAGTTGAGTAAATAAAATGCTGTTTAGCACAAAAATTAACTAACATTTTTCTTGCATATCTTTGGAGCTCCAGTATTTTCTAAATGTAAATAAATATTTTCCAATTAGCAGCTTTAAAGTTGATTGCTGGGTTGTTTTAAAGCAAGTGTTTTTTTTTTATTATAATTTGTTTTCAAACATTTGCTAAATGAAATCTGTTTATTACTTTAGAATGTTACAAAGAAATTTACTTTCATAATGTGAATAAGGAAAATTCCTTTTAAATACAAAAGACAGTTTCAATTATACTTCAGAACAGGAACTAATTCATTTTTCCATTATGTATTTTCTTTCCACTCTAGGCCTTTTCTCAAACAACAGAGAATGTATTTTGTATTTGCTCAAATGCTGTCTTCTATATCCACATGGTTGGCCATAGTTCTTCTAATAATTGTCAGCCTTTTCCCTGAGATTCTCCTGATAGTATTAAAGAATGTAAGAAGAAGAAGTGCCAGGGTAAGAACTAAGTTTATATTACAAACTGATTTCTGGAAGGGGCTTCAATAGCTGCCATGAAATAAAAATCTTATTTAGAAAATTGCATTAGTTACAGCATGTTAAACCCCTCCTTACAGGTTCATCACTTAATTTCCTCTTCTGCATAAAAAGTATAGTAAAAACTTCGTTATCCAATACAGGTGGTAAGTAGTTTCCTTAATAGTGTTCTATGTGACCTTTAGCAATCCATATGGAGTATTACATATGCTCCATATGGAATTTTAAATGGAAAAATTATTTTTTTCTTTAGTAGCCTAGAATTTTCACACCAGAAATTTCCACACCAACATTCCAGCTTTAACCTTAGCTATTTCACTGTGGGTTGTTCAGAGATTTTTTTTTTCTTTCAGTTGATAATCCCCATTTGCCTTTTTCAAAACTTTCCCTTTCCTTTAATTATAGTGCTGCTTAATCTCTGAGTTGCTTCTAGCCCTGTCTGTACAGCAGTATAATTGAACCAAAGAAAATTTCCTGGATGTAGTTTCTACATCCTTACCTTCCTGAACACACTTGTAAAAATTCAGGAATGTTTTATAAGTGTGTTTTTACTGCTTAAATTGTAACCTTTTGTGGAAATGAGAAATTATTCCCCTCTGACAGCCTAATTGCTTGGTCCTGCACTGTCTGATATCTTTGAACATTTCTACAAAAGCCTTTAGAGTGAAAGGGGTAGATTAGCCTGGGGGAAAATCTTCTGGCAAATTTTTACCAACACATTAATATGTCCTTCCTGCCAACACTCTCATTTTGCCAAACAAAACCTCATTTCTATCATATTGACACCAACTATATCTTCTAGCCCCCGCCAGGCAACATTTTCGTGTAATAGTCTAAGCTATATCTCCTGACCTATTTGATCAAATTTGCCAACCAGTTTAGCCACAATACTGGTTTGTCTCGAATTTTTTTCTGGCCTATTGAATTGATAGAATCTAGTGGTCGTCATCATACAACATAGGGAACTAAAATAATTATAGTGGGAATATCATCAGCAGTTAGATATATAAAAGAGGAGCATCATTGTTACAACTCAGTGTTGGCCCCAATCAAAAGCAAATAGACTACCAGTGGCAAAAGCCACATTGATTCTTTGTGTACAAGACCGGTTGGTGTACAGTTAAATGGTTAGAACTTGCTTTAATTCCATGCTTCTGCATGCCTTATGGGTAGAACTGGACACAATAATGTTAACCTAGCTAAGACTGCCTTGGTCTGTTCTTTAATCTTTCCAGCAGGCTCCTGACTAACTTCCTTTAGCCTGTGGCATTTAGTTTTAGTATGGGAAAGTAACATTTACTTGTATGATTATACCTTAATATCAGTTGAACTGGGCTAAGACAGACTGATAAAGTAGGTTCCTCCCAAAATGGCTCAAATGGCAATTTAAATAAAGCCAAATAAAAAATGTCACAATAATAAATGGTTTTATGCCTTGTTATAATAGAGAATTTGTCTGGGAAGAATCTCTTGAGTTGTTCTTCCATCCTCCTTATTTGGAAGTATGCTTTGGGGTGCTCCTAAATGTTTTTCTTATTTGGAATAGTGGAGCTTATACTAAATAATGGCTCACACCCAGCTTCATGTTCTAAAGACATTCCAAAAATCTTCAGAAATCCAAACCTTCAAAAATATTATCTTCTTCTTTAGGTCCTTTCTTTAAAAAAATTACTTAGGTTATGAGAGCTACTAACAGGCATAAAAAATTAGATACTAGCTGAAGGTGACTTTTATTAAATTAAATGGATATTAAATGGAGGAATTCTACAAAGCAGTTACAGATAAAGACTAGAACATTCCTAACTTCTGTTGAAACCATGCGATTCTGGGACCACAGCCCTATTTACATAGCAAGCATAGAATGTTGCTAGGGGTTCAGCATGAAATCTGTTTGCCATGGGTGGAAGAATTCTAGTGTCTGTGCTGTAGCTTGGCATGCTGATGTGCTAGAATGACGAGAATTTCCATAATCACGTTCATTCATTCATTCATTCATTCATTCATTTTTACCTTCATTGAACCAATGAACATGTTGAGCCACCTAATGATGAACATCTCTCTTTATATGCAATGTCTGAAAGACTAAGTGGTTTCAAACACTATGTGATTTTGAGAGTTGCAGATGAGACAGAATGTTGTGGGCACTCAGCAGTGCTGCCACTTTTTTTTTCCTTGTGAGAAAAATGCAAGAGCAAAGTAGTGCATATGAATGCATAAAGGCCAACTAAAACATGGCAGCCATGGTTATCCTGATAAGTCACATGTTTACATAAAGCCCAATTTGGCTATACCAAAGAGGCAGAGCCCACTTCTAAGATAAAGGAGAAAGAATCTCTTAATGACCAACAGTCTGCCATCTGGGTGACTTACTACTTTCTTCAGTATCCCTTGTTAAGGCATTTGCCTCATTTTAAAGAGAAAAAAATATTCTTTTACACTAGTTTGGCCTCACACCTGACACACTCCCTAATGGGATAAAGGATGTGTCCCTACCTATAAATAGAAGATTCTTTGACCATCAACCAGTAAGCATCTTGGTACTTTGTACACACTGCCAGAAATGCCTATGACACCTAGGCTCACAGTGCTGTCCTCATGTTAGTCTTGGCCAATATGAAGGGAATTTAGAAGTGGATAGTGAAAATATCTCTATGACCTTAGAGAAAGCAGCTAAGACATTTACATGTGACAATTACAGAAGCAGCCTTCTGGTGACTTCCATTTCCTGAGGGTCCACTGTAAGTTAGCTACTAAACTAGATGTTGGTAATTCAGGGATGAATCAAAGGATGCCTTGGTCATAAGGAGTCTCACTCTAATTAAGTTATAAGATGGATTCATGTGATATAAATCAGAATAGTAGACTAAATGATATGGGTTGATTTAAGACAACTAAAGTATTTCAGTGTCTGCATCACTACCTCCTGAAGCCACCATAGCAAAGTTCTGCCGTGGCAGTAGCATTATAAAGAATTATGCTATCTTCAAAAAGGTGAAAGGATTGAGTACAGAATAGTTATGGGATGTAAAGTACAGCATAGGGAATATAGTCAATAATATTCTAATAACTATGTATGATGTCAGATAGGTACTAAATTTATCAGGGTGACAACTTCGTAAGTTATATAAATGTTTAATCACTGGGTGGTATACCTGAAACTAATATAATGTTGGATGCCAACTGTAATAGAAAAATAAAAAATAAAATTATTTTTAAAAGGTGAGGATAAAAAGGAATTCTGCTATCTTCAGAATAGATTCCCTAAGTAATTGAAATCAAGGATGTGGTTAAGCAATATATTCTTCAGCTATATTTTCAGCAATATGCTTAATTTTTTAGCTAAAATTCCATCATTAAGGATCATAGGCCTTTAATGTTGCTTATAAGTCAGCAAAGCTGCACTGCCGTACTGCTGAAGTGTATAATGAAACTATTGAGCACTAAACAGTGGAGCAGCAGGATAACACTTCAAATTTTAAAATTTAGGGTTTTGGATATTTCAAAAAATTGTGTTCCCCTTTGAACACAATTGTTGGGCTATCTCTCAGTCAGTGAAATATATCTAGACTTTCTGGCCAAGTAAGAAATACCACTTCCCATTTCCAATGGAGGAATTTCCACATATAAGTTTTCCCACGTAAACCACAACAATCAAAAGGAAGTCTTGACTTTGCCTACTGGACACAGGGGCACTATAATCCAATGGGAAGGGACCCAGCAACAAGTTGAAGCCTAGTGTGGGATGTCTGCATAAACAAAAAGAAATACTCCATTATGAAGGGAGCTCTTTCAGAGTGGAAGACAGGAAAAGGAAGAATGTCAGCTACCTGAGCAAAATTCCCAGAGATAGCACTTGGAAATTTTTGGAAAATGTAATTTATCCTTGTAAGATCAATGGTGACAATCATGATTACTATCAAAATGCTGACAGTCACATACACCCATTGGTTCTGAGAAAAATAACACTGTGAACTAGGTTAGACAAAAATAAAGTTGAATCCTAATGCCATGACTGTTGAGATGGACCTTTATGCATTGGCCTCTTTGACACACTGCTAACTGAGCTGTAGATGACTGCAAAGGAATGTGGAAATTTCATACTGTTTCAGCTCATTATCTCTAGTCCTTCTCACCTCTCTCCCCTACCAATTGATAGCTATATCAATTTGATTGCTTTAGATATATTTGCCATGCTCTCTACTGCCTTCTGTACTTTCATATTTCCTTTTTTTCCCATTGTAACTGAATCTATAAACTTTAAATTTTATGATTCATAGAAATAATTTTATCTTCAATGGTTGGATACAAGGTTTTGATACAAGCACCAAAATATGCTTGTCATTACAGTCTTAAGCAGATAGGCTTGTATATTAAACATGAGGGTGAGACACTTGTATCATGTTAATCTTATAAAGTTTTTGCCCACAAAATAGAAGACAAAGCAACTTTTAAGAAAAAAAAATTATAAACTAATATTTCTCTAGCTTTCTTCATTTATAATTTGCATGTTACTAACTTTATTTAAGGTAAAATATGAACAGGAAAAATGTAGTAATTTTAAAACATGAATAAGTCAAAGTATTTGTCTTTAAAGTTTGTTTATTAGACTCTGCTGGATACATGTATTACTTTAACTGGTATTTTTTTTAATCCTATTTTCATTAGTCACTATGTAGATGACATGGGTAATTAACAGCATTGTTAAATTTATCCTTGTAGTTGACTACTCATCTTCTGTTTGCCATGGGCAATGCCAAAAACATAACTTCCGGCATACAATGAAAAAGAAAAACATAACCTTTTAGGTTTTCTGATTAAACTATATCAACACTTGCTTTTTCTAGGTCTTTTAAAGGAAAATTTTATAGCTCTTGAGCCTACCCCTTGAAAGAGGGCTCTGTAAGAAAAAGGAAGAACCCCATCAAATTATGTTAGAATAAATGTATTAAAGCACTAGCCCCGAGACAAATAATTCTAAAGTGTGGTTTTATCAAATCTTTTCCCACTGTGCTTGTTTTGATTAGGTTTTTAACCTGCAGCTGCCCAAAGGCAGTCAGTCCCTTCATATTTTATCTGTGTGATTGCATAAGGGAGCTAGTCACTTTAAGATGGGTTGGTGATGCAGCCTGGACATAGCTCTCCAACCAGTGGGTTTTGAACAATGTACCTTAGTGAAATAATGATTAGAGATAAGCCTTATTTCAATGAGAAGCATGTTTTTAAAATTATTTTATTCAAAATAATCAATTTTCCCATTAGCTAAACAATTTTAAATTGATATATAGAGAAGTAGTAGTGTGCACATATAATAATAGACTACTCCTAACTCTGATTCTTTTACTTGTAACGTCTTCAATACTAACATGTCATTTCGACTTCTAATTCTCAGGCTTTTTTTTTTTTTTAATGTTTTACATTTCAGAGAATATTTACTTTTCTTTTTTTTTTTTGGTTTCTGCATTTCTCTTTTTTCTACTGCAATTTTCCACCTTTTGTGCAATTGTGAACAAGGTAACGAAACGCCTCCCTTCCTCAGGAACATCTACTATCTTCATGCTTTCTCAAACTTCCAGCAATCACAGTTTCTCTTGGAGTGAATAAGGTGATTTCCTTTCTTAATGTACCAACTTGCTTGCATTCTCATTTGCTTGACACCATTTTCTGGTTCTCTATGAAAAATTGCTTCTCATGACTTATTTTTATGTCTTCTACTGACACTTAAAGGAGTATTTTGTCATTTTTCATTAATCATTTGTTCATCTCAAATTGTCACACTGGACAGAAAATTATTTCAAAAACTTGGACAGTAAGTCTCTGGTCCCATTGATAACTACTATGCAATAGAAGCCACGGTGTGTTAGAGCCTATCAGTTCACCAACACAGGACTGTTTTTGCACAATTTCTCTTTGTTCGGTACACTGACAGCACTGCCACAACGCTAGGAGGTGTTCACCAAAAGGATGGTATGGTTTACTAATCAAAATATATTGACTCATCTACCACATAACCTACCAGAATCATTTCAAAAACTCAAGTTTGGCACATATTACTAATGTCAGTATACGTCTACCATGAAAACAATTCGATTCAAGTTGGACACTTTCTTAGGTCTTTAAATGTATTTATTTAAATGTTATGCATTTGTTATACTGTAATCATTTGTACTTTTGGCCAGAAGAGTTAGTCTATAGAACGTGATTTTTTTTCTTCTACATTTTTATCACCAGGTAGGTTAACCAATATTCAAATCCTTTAAGTATCTTTACCTCACTATTACAGAGAAATCTGAGCTGTAAAAAGGCATCTGACTCATTATCCGCCAGACCTTCAGTCAGACCTCTTCTTTTACGAACATTCTCAGACGAATCTAATATGTTGTAACAGGTACCTAGTGTTAAGTGGGCTGGCTTTAAAGAAAAAGATTAACAGCATTATAAAGAAAAAAATGAAACTATCACTCTCTAAATTGTTTCTGTTGTTGGTGTGGTGAACTTTATATTATTCTTTGCTAAAATATAAAGATGCATTACTTGGAATATGTGGAAATATGTATTTTAAATTTGCTAACCCCACCCCCCCCAAAATAAAATTTTAGGCATTTTCCAGAACTGAAGGGTAATACAATAATGCTCAATAGTAACCAAGAAATATAATTTTGATTTTAAAATGTGTTTGAATAATTGAAAAGAAATATTCCAAAATTGCATCTGTATAATATCAAGTCAGTTTAGCATTGCATGTTCTTTTGGGAATCATGTGAGAATAATTCAATGTGTTTGTATCTCCATGTGCTGTGTCTGTGTGTTTGCAGGTTTAAACTTAATGTCCTTGTAAATGTTTGATTCCCAAATATATATTAATAAGCCAGTCTAATCATTTTTAATGCCAAGTTTTATTCAAGCTAAATGTTTCAACTTTCAGAGGTAGTAAAATCTTTACTAGCTATTCAGGGGGGTGCTATCCTAATTATATAAAATGTTTCATAATTCATTTTTTTCTCTAAAAATGAGTAAATTATTTTATATCATTTTTCATTTGCCCAAAAACTATTTGGGAGGAATTTATATGCTATGGGAGGAATCCTTGAATTTGGAATGACTCTTCCATGTGTATTTTGTTTCCCACTGCAGGGGCCTCTGTTACCCAGACCTTTCCTAGGTCTTTTATCCATTTATGGAAATTTAGAGTAATTCATAAATGAGGTTTACAAGTTTGTCAACTTAGAAACAACTCTGTACAGCTTAGGGCAGGGCTGTCTTAAAATAAAATGATCATAGAAATAAATGATCATCATGAAAGAAATTGCAAGTCAGTTCATTTTGAAGCTAAGAATTATAAATCCACACCTCATAGGCCTCCTCTTTCATTAGCTATCAACTGCCCCACAGTCCATCAAAGGAGAAATATTGAATGAATGAATTGATTCCATTGGTTCTTTTGCATCTGCTGTGTTATTTTGGAAGCTGACTAATTTTGCCTCTGTCAGCATATCCCTCGCTCAACCCCCATTTTGAGCAACTCACCTGCTTATGTTTTCCCTCAGTGATGAATCTGCCTCCCAGTAGCCTTCAAAGTTTTTTACCCCTTTGTCCCAGATAGCCTTGTCCTAGGCTGTGTGGTGCATTTTAGCTATACTTTTTTCAGCTAATTTTGTACCCCCCTGGATTGCTTTCTTTAGCTTGGTCTGTGGTTTGGGGGATTGGCTGGGTAGCAGACACTGCTATTGCTTTTGGACTCTCCAGGGCTTTAACTCCTACAAGGCCTAATCAAGAGCTGAGGAAGTTATAGCTTTTAAGCAATTGTTTTATTTTCATGTAAATTTCTTCCAGGAATTTATATTCATGTGGATTAGTTCTTCTCCAAGGAAAATATTTGGCAAATTAATTTAGCCCCACTGAGTTTATCCCTTGATTGATAAGGTGACATGACACCTTTTACAAGTTCTCAATATAAATGGCAATCTTATTTTCATTAGTCACCATAACCCTATCTGAAAAATTCACATGAGAATATGGAACATAAAAAGAAATAGAAGGTGTTCTGGAGGACTTCTAGTCCAACCATGGTGAGGAAGATGCACAAAGAAAATAGCATGCCTCTTTAAAGCCTTCCACTACTCAGGTTTAAAAAGATTAGATTTTAGAGTAGAGAACGAGAAAGTTAATCTCCCTACCATGACATAGGGCTTCTACTTTTCAACATTCTTTATTTACACTCTGTTATCCATTGTCCTGTCATGCCCCATCCCACTCATAGCATTTGATGATATTTAGAGGACAGAAAAAAAATCTATATTTTTTTAGGGATATTTCTGGTTTTTCTTTCCTAAAAAGATAATGAATAAGAAAAACAAGAGTCATTTGACCCTTAGATACATCATCTACCAAAAAGAAAATTAACTTCACCCTGGCTGGTGTAGCACAGTGGTTAGAGTGTCAGCCTGTGCACCAGAGGGTCTCAGATTCGATTTCCAGTCAAGAGCATATACTCAGGTCACATGTGGGAGGCAACCAGTTAATGTGTCTCTCTACTCCTTTTCGCTCTCCCCTACCCCCTCCCTTTCATTCTCTCTCTAAAAAATCAATGGAAAAAAATATCCTCACCCCCTGGGTGAGGATTAAAAAAAGAAAAGTAACTTCAATATTACAAGGAGGAAACATGTTTCTTTTAATAAAGTACTTTAACAACAGTTTTTCAAAACAATCTATATTCAGGATATTCTGTCAAATTTTGCACATCCAAAAAACACACACGGTAATTTGTTCATTCATTCAGCATGTCCTGAGAATCTGCTGTGTGTCAGATTCTGTGCTAGGTGCTAAAGATAGAAAGATAAACGAAATGTCCCTGTTCTCAAGGAGCTTATGGGCTACAGGAAGGGATCTTGGTGAGGTAAGCCTCGGCTATGGAAGATAGTCCAAGAGATAACAACTGTTAGAAGAACCCTGGAGCAATCCAAAAGCAAAAAGCAAGTCTGAATCTTACTCAGCTGACAAATGATTAAATCATTAAAAACTGGTTATTGTGTCACTCTTTCTTTTCCCTGCATGTGAATAAAACTTGGCTCTTTGTTAAGACAGTCTCTTTACTCTCATAACAAAATTTACTACTTGACTTATTTTTGAAAATGCTATACAGATGGTTTTACATTGTTATTATTAAAATAAACCTTTTAACTGTGTATATTTTAAATTTTTCAGAATCAGAATCTTGAACTGCCTATGTTATTGTCCTACAAGCATATTGACAGTGGTTACAGCTAAAAAAGAAAGCATGAAGAAACAACTACAAAAAGTTAATCATCTCAGGATACTCAATATGCAACAAACTAAAAAAGTCTCATGTCTAGGGTTTAGAATAAATGTCCATTAAAATACCAAATGACTATTGTAAGCATTTACAGTTATTGTAACTAGCCGTTATGGCCAAAGCTCTACGTTATAAGTAATATGAAAGTTGAAAGCAAGAATATTTATAATTTCTGGCTTTAGATAGAATAATATAATTACCAAGTGGGTGTTCTTTTAACCTATGAATTTTGTGAATGGATTTAAATAGAATAATATAAAAATAGAAGTCATGCAATGGGAATGAATAGATTTTGCTATTGTTTCTTTTTCTGCCTGGCAGAAGAAATCAGCTGTTTGGATCACTCTTGTTCCTGCTGAATGATGATCTTAAATTATTTTTTCAACACATGAAAGGAATACTTGAAAGTATAAGAAGACTAAATGGATATCAATGCATCAGATAGAATAGTTAATCTTTTCAGTTTACCCACATGCTAATTTTGTCTTGATAGAATATTCTTGACAAGAAATGAACACTTACGTGGAAATAGCGTTAGTCCTGGGTGTTTTTGTGAGAATAAAAAATTATTTAATTTAATTTTATTTTTATTCTTCTGAATATACCCCAAGTAATGGGTGTTTGGCTACTATATTTGAAAATAATACATTTCCAGTCACTTAGTAGCCCGTCAAAATAGTTTGGATATAACAGATTTTCCTCATATTTTACTAGGATCTGAGGTAAGGGGGGCCAAACCACAGTTATATAAAATTAAAGGGCATTCTAAGCATCGGTCTTTTATGACTTTGTGTAGAGAGGAAATAAGAATGGCTTCTTTCAAACTTAATGATTTTTATTTGAAAGAGGCTATACGTATGCATATATTCAGTTTTCTGTTTGTTTTTTTAACTTGCCAATTTGGGAGGAAAGAATCCTTCCCAGCATGGTGTTTCAGTCTACAGAGCCATAACTGAACATATATGCTGTTACTTGGCTAGGTAATGGTCTAACTCTAAATCATGAGATTCACATTGGTAAAATCCTCAACTTACTGGGCTATAAGGAGGTTTTATCCTTTTAATGAATCCACTTAAAATGTAAAACTTGAAATATCTTTATTACATGGTAAAATTAAACATATTTGGGGGGATATAAATTACTTCATTTGACTACTAGATTAAAATGGTCTTTTAAAAAGTGTTTTCATACCAGTTTCCACTTTTGGTTGTCTTTTCTGGCATGCCTGTACTATTACTAGTGTTATATTGTACCTTTTTGGATTCAATCTGTACCAATGTATTTATATAGTCCATATGGCACATTTGATTCTTCTATGTACATTTTGTGTTAATATTTAAGTGTAATTTTTCTTCTAGAAGGACATATTCACTTATCAGAACCATTCCATCATTACATTTTATTATTTCCTTTGTTGTCATCTCTCAGTATTATTTTTGAGTATTTTCTTGTGTCATTCACACCTTACCTGGTAGCCTGTATTTGAGGTAGTCTGCTGAAAACAGTCTTGTATTCTTTCCCTATTCCAAAGAGCCAAAAATTCAGACCCAGGAAAGCTTATGATGTTTTATTTTCTTTTAAGAACTACTTAAAAAAAAACATTTTTAAATTGAATTTTTAGAGAGGAAGGGAAAAGAAGGGAGAGGAGAAGGGAGGAGAGAGGTGAGGAGAAGGCAGGGAGGTAGAGATAGAGAAACATGAATGTGAGAGCAAGACCAATTCGCTGCCTCTTGCATGCCCCCTACTAGGGAATCAAACCCAGGCACAGGCCCTGACCGGAATCAAACCGGCAACCTTAAGGTGCATGGCACGATGCCCCCAACTGAGCCATATCGCCAGGACTTGTTTTTATAGTTGTTGCTGTATTGTTATTGTTTTATGTAAGAACTATAGGGACTGTGAATACAAATGAGAGAGCCACAATAGATAGTCTTGTTTAATGCAGAACCATTGGAGATATGACATCAGAATATCTGTGGTAGTGGAAATATAACTGGTGGTATATAAAATTTCTTGCAGCCAGGAGGAAACATGAATAAGGGAGATTTAGAATCTTGTCTCAGCTACACATT